GATGTCCTCGTCCATATAGATGTTCTCCTTCTGATGGGCGTCCGTCTCCATGTGGGCGTCCTTTTTCAGACGGGCATCTTCCACCAGAAGGGCGTCCTCCTTCATGTGAGCGTTCCCAATCAGATGGACTCCCATCCAGTGGGCGTCGCCACGGTCCCCTAAATGATGGGGGTCCTGGACGTTTTACATATCCCTGAGAAGATCTGCATGACACAACCACCTTAACCAGGCAAGGTGCCAAAAAGATGCGACAGACCAATTTCGTAAACTTCATCACTTTAAATCGACTCCTACGTGGGAAGATAAGAGAAAACCCAATAACACAGTTCCCTGTCAAATAAAATTTGAATATCTTATTAACAGATTTCTTATTGAAAACATTCCACACCGTAAGGCGTTATTAAATCATACAAGCTTCTTCACCGTGCTGTAGTTTATCTGTAACGTTGCCCAAATCAAGAAGATCTAGTATGGCTCTCTGCGTGTTGCCTGGCAACAATTTCCATTTAATACGGTACTGTATTGGCCCGAATTATTGGCCATTTGCACTTGGTCAATATAGCTTTTTGTTAATTTAAATATTGTCTGCTTAAACAATCTGGAATAGTGATGGAGATGGGAATCAGGCAGTTGGCCCAGTGTCACTTGTCGTTCTTTCCTCCCTTTTTTTTCTTGTGCATAAAGGCTGATGGTTTATTGCCTGCGACAAACTCAGAATGAACTGAACAAAAAAAACAAAAAAAACCACGCACTAAAATGCAGCTTAAAAAGGTGATTTCTATTGATGTGTGTGTGTGTTTTGTTTTTGGTTCGTGAGGAAAACGCAGTAAATATCGTTTTTTATTCCCCAAGTTGTGGTGTGTCAATATCCACCACTGAACGTTCTGGATCACTTCTACCATATTTATCAACGAGGAGAATTTCTTTTTTATAATGTCGTCAGTCATGCATTTTTGTGGTGACCGATAACGACCCATTCAGACCTACGGAAAGCAATCAACGGAAGACCAGTATTCAGCGAATGAATTTCGCAATTGATCAAAGGAAACATGCGTGCATAATTGTGACAGGTTTTGCGAACATTCCCGCGGGGAAGATTGTATATGCAGCAAGAAATGAGACCGAAGGGTACCCCCCCAACTTGTCCAATCGTTATACACTCTAGACAATTTTTACCTAAAACCTCCCCCCCCCCGAAACTGAAGAACTATCAGATTTCAGTGAGACAATGACCAACACGAAGCTGGGGGAGTTATCTCCGTCTCATATATTGCTTCATATGTAGGATTGGACACACGATGTAATTGGCGTTTCTTCATTTGTCAATTTTATGTTTGCCATAGTGAATATCTGATTAAAACCTTCTTCAACAATTTAATGAGATTAAACTTTAAGGAGATTTGACGTTGCTAAGGCTTTTTATTCACTGCGTCTATACAAGAGTCTGGCTCCCGATGAACATTCAGCCATCAACTGATGACATTAAATGTCTGAAAGCGTAGCTTCAGCATAAATCGACACATGAAGTAACGAATCAATAAGAAAGCTATATTATTACGTTCATTGATGTTGTGTTCTTGTTCGCAATCCAAAAGGTATTTGTTTGATAATTTGGCGAACGGGTTGTAAGGATTCATCTTTGGTTCTTGGCCCATCTTGACGATACGACAATTTTTTCTCGAAGAACCATAAACTTGAAACTTGACAGATGTGTATAGAAGTTTGACGCTTTTAAAAACCATTTATTCAATCTTTAAGCGATTTTAATTGCCTGCTGTACCTTAAGCTAAGAACTGTGGCCTGTATTATAGGCCAAGTTGTTTTTTAGGGGATGCAAGATCTTACGTTGGGCAACATTTTTCGGGTCCGATTTTTCCTAACGGCAGTAACAAATAAATATATCGGTAAGAGCACTAAACCTGGCACAAACGCACACCCTGTTGCCGACATGTACATATTCCGTGACGTCACGTTGACGTCATTAGATATCACAAAAAAGCAAATTAAACATTTGAACCCAATGAAACATCCTATTCAAATTTTATGCTCAGGTAGACCTACGGTTGATGTGTAATTAATAATTCGATCCCGGAGAAGCAGAGTAAGTTCCCAATCATTTCTTAATTTCTTTTCTGTCTATTTTTTAAGAAATTATGATAACAGAACACTCAATTTCATTTTATAGCCGCATTTTGCTGTCTGAGGTAATAAAAAAAATTTGTGGAGCTTAAATGCTAAGTACGTAGGTGTCATTTTAAAAGTAAACACGACAGCGTCAGCATCATAATATACAGTATTCAAGTTGCATATCTGGTGCTATATCGAACCAACCTATATCACGGTATGATTTGCAAGTATACAGACATATAAGGAAAGTACAGAGATGTACAGTAAAATCGAATTTGTATCACCTAGTCTTGGCTCAAGGCTTGGATTTGATTACATTCCCCACAAGACATTCACCCAGACGCCTGGGCAGAGCATGATATCTTTATAAGCCGTTACGACGACAGAAGGCACTTTCAGTTTCAAATTTTCAGTTTCTTTCAAATTGATCAATGTGTTCAACTTTTACGAATTCGCAGCGCGAATGTTTAATTTGCCCTCACAAATTAGCGTTTGTGTTCGTTTTCGCCTGAAGTATGAACCGGCCTTAAGGCGCCACATTTAAAGCACGATTCTTGTATTCGTTTGTGCTTATGCAGTGTAATTTAACCATTCTGCCATTCTGCGATGTATCGATCAGGTGAGACTATATATTATGCAGCTCTCGACAACGTTGTGCGGTAATCCGGGGTAAAACTATTGTGCATACAAATTCACTTCGTTACGTTTGGTTTCCCACTATTGCCAGACGTCACGATGACGTCAAGGAATTAGAAAGAAATGGACTGAGCCTCTTGCTATCTGCTTTCGCGGGATGGCTGGCGCTGAGTAGCTTACCAAGTATTTGTCGTGAAGGTGGGATCGAATCGCAATACGCCCCAATTATAGCTCATGATGTTGAAGTCCTCCCCCCCTTGGGTCACAGGGAGCTGAGATCTACGGCCGTATCACGGCTAGTAGTTTAAGATGTATGTGTAGGCCTATATTGTGTCTTTTTTCTTCAGAAAACAAACAAAAAAAAAAGATGCGGTTGTGTATCTTCGTTTTTCAGAAAGAAAAAAACGCCGAAGGAAAGAATATGATTAATGAGTTTTTGACGTTGTATAAAATAAAAAAAATTTAAAAAAGGAAAAACGAATGTTTCACATTCGTGCAGTGGAAAGATTTGTTTCATTCAAAGATGGATATAAATATGGATAGACAGAATTCTTCATTCCACTCGATTTGGCCTCAAAGCATCTGTTGGATGTAGTTTTTTTTACAACTATCATCTTTTCATGGGTGGTCAAAGTTTCCAAAACGTGACCTACAGACCAATCTCTTACTGCGTGACTGCGGAGGCCGTCACTCAAACGGAATATTATTATTATCCATATTATTATTATTATTGATGGTTTATTTCAAACACTGTGATTGTAGCCCGGAGGCTAAATTACCACAGTACACACTGCTTAACTATTCAATAAATAAATATCAGAGCATTAAGAATTGAAAGTAGACGCATCTCATCTAGAATAGACACAAAACAACAATCAAAGAATGAAAATCACTGAAGATACAAACAGAAAATTGCACTGTTATTAATATCATAGTTCTCCGAAACCTCAAGAACCCCTGGTTCTTCTTAGCCGATTATGCTGTCACCTCTCACCACCACAATGTAATCCTGCGTACACGTACGCAATTTCCACTGAGCCGGATATGTTGTGACAGCGGCTACCTGCTACATCATTATTGTAAACGTCATTTTATTGCTCGTCAGAAACAAACTAAAAGTTACAATACAAAGAAAAAAACCGACGGTCAGACATCATCGAACGGAAATCTAAATATACGCTCAGTTGCGCTCGATGGGGAGGAAGAGGATCTTCAATACACTCTTGATAATTTTCAATTTGATCAGCCGATGTGTTGGTCGCAGGGAGATGATCCGACCTGGGGAAAATTGTGTAGCCTAAATTGTGCGTTCGACGCGAAACAGCCTTCCTCTGAACCGCAAGCATGGGTGAATTTAAAACGAATGTGTCGATGCTGAGAAAATTCCAAGAGAGAAAAACGGGATTGTCTTTCCCCCAATTCCTCACCAATACTCTCTTCCCCCCAAAAAGGAAATAACAAAAAATTACCGTGTCCATCGTGCTGCAGCGAGGAAAGAAAAGAGAAGAATTGCAATGTCTCAAACGGCTCCTGGCAACTCATAACGGGAATGTATTTTAATATCAAAGTGTCCTTGTTTTCGATCCCCTTTGAATTTGTACAAGAACATTTTCTCCGACTTGACAATAGTGAGTCCCCGCAAGACAAGCAACTGCGTGTATGAATCTTGCTCATTTATCATGAAAGTTATCGTAAGCTACACGTTATATATAGCGCTCGGGCTAATTTCATCTGCACAAAAGTTGCAGCACCGTGAGAGTCGCCACAGGTCTTTGTCTGTAGTCGTTGAATATTCTCTACTTGCAAGTAAGTCAGCGGAGTTCAGCTCCACACAAATCATTAACTGTGTCTACGGAGACCTCCCTTTTAAGTTCAGGATTATTGATCAGACTTTCAGACGAAAAATTCGCAGGATGGAGAGCACTAATGCGACAACAGCAACGCTTGACCTGGTCGTTTTCTCGACACACGGCGAGCGCCAGCTCGTGGCGGCTTTTTACGGCATTATCGCGGTAGTGGGGACGCTTGGTAACTGCGTGGTGATCTTGGCGCTCCTCCTGTCCCGTAAACTCCGCACCGTGTCCAACGTTTTTGTCGTGAACCTGAGTGTGGCCGACTTGATTTCCAGCCTGAGTATCCCCTGGCAGGCTGTAGCCGTGCTGAGCGCGGACGGATGGCCGCTGCCCGACTGGATGTGCGCCATCGGGGCCCTGGGTGTCCTGGTCCCCATAGGGTGCAGTTTGAACACACTCACGTTGATCGCCATCAACCGTTTCGTCATGGTCAACTGCACCAAAGCGACCTACCGTAAGCTGTACCAGAGGCGCTGGCTGGTTCTCATGGTCGTCTGCGCCTGGGCTTTGCCGGTTGCTGTCGCCAGCGTCCCCTTAATGTCGGATTTTGTAGACCTGGGTTTCGACGCCTTCTTCAGTACGTGCGGATGGGACAGCAGTAATTCCAACTCGCCAACCTATGCACTGGTCTTGGCCGTAGTCAGTTACCCGGTCCAGCTCGTCACCATCATTGCCTGTTACTTGGCTCTTTTTGTCCGTCTCTGCAAGTATCACCGTACCATCTCTATGAGGGTGGGCCCGGAGCAGCCAGGGACAAGCCAAGAGAACTCCGTCTGGAACATTAGCGGTGTGGCTCCCTCACAACAGAGACCCCAAATCCGAGGAAATTACAACAAGCGCCAAACTGAAGTCACCAAAAACCTATTCTATGTTGTGTGCGCGTTCTTTCTGTGTACTACGCCCTACGTTGTTTGTATCACTCAGTACGGCACGTACAAACTTCTGCCTTACGTAACTATTTTGCTTTTTGCAAATTCCTGCCTCAATCCCTTTATTTATGCTACAAAACATCCGGATTTCAAGAAAGTATTGGCCTGCATTCTCCGATGCCGATTCAGCTCCATATCAGGAAAAATACACATTTTTTAAACCAAAGCTGAAACTGATTGTGATTACAAACTTTTGGTCCAGAGATATTGTACGAAGAAAACAGCAGGAAAAAATCCTTTGAAGTAGTTCGTAAATACACATAACGTTAATATTAAGACAACGGCCTAGAAGCAGCACATGTTGTAACTCAAAGTTATTTCATCCAAAAAGGTTGTTTTTAGTGGTGTTTTTTTATCTTGCGGTCAGCGGCCATTCATTAGATGGCGACAGCTATTAATGGCGGTCGCTGTTCATTAAGCAAACGCACTATCATAATGGAATAATATTAACTGTAGAGTTTAGGGGTTCTGTATATGCCTTAACTTCATTTACCCGAAGCTTAAGTTGTAGCCACCACAAAATGATGTGGCGACTGCCAGATAATTATGTAGCGGCCGCCAGACAATACATGGTGGCTGTCATCATGCAGAAATATTCACATCCCATCCTTTGGCACTATTCGGCTTCCGTACTTCCGAGTTCAGACATTTCCTCATCAGTTCAAGTTGCTTTATCGTTATCTGTCTGCCTTTTCATATGAAGAGCTGCGTTTATACGATTCGTTTGCAGACTCTGCGCGTGCGAGCCACGCATTGGTCCAAAGAATTCATGTCATTACGATTGGCCTGCGATTCGCCAATCAGGTGCCGGGAATTTATTCAGAGGTGTGATACAAAACAATGATCCGTTTAAGACAGAATATGTTGTAATGTTCGTATTATTATTTTTTTTTCATCTTTATTTCTAGAACCCTGGAAGGAATCCCTGTAACCTCTTAAGTTTCCCCAAGATGTCGTCGCAACGCATTTTGTAAAAACAAATCGCAGCAAGCCTAAACGAGTTTTCGTGCTGATTCCTTGCAGTCGTTCTAAAACCAATTTTATGAAATCGTAAATACCGTTCTTGCCAAATGTCTATTTTCCAACACAGGTAGGCCAATTGATAACGTTTCTTACTGACCGAGTGCTCATACAATGAACATGCATGGGCTGACACGCGTGAGAATGTACATGCTCTATGAAGAAAATACCAGAGCAACATATAGGCCTAATTGTGATCAGATTGATAGCAAACTTTCCCGTGATGGGTGTCTTTATATACAAATTGAGTTTAAAAATGACAATGAAACAGTTGGGATCTTCGAGCTGATTCAGACCTCGGCGCCGCTATGAGAGGGCCAAACAAACGTGATCATTTACTGACTATTCACAAATGACAAATTAAGACTACATGACAACAGCACATTTACGCATTTTGTTATCCGGTTCGTAATGTGACGTCACTTCAGTTTAAACCACGCCCACTGCATATGCAGAGCACACAGGGAACCATGGAACCGGAAGTTAACGCGCAACTTCAGCGATTGTCTAATGGGAGCCTGCAAATCGTGGCGCGCCAGCCTTTGTGACGAAGTCACTTACGAACTGCATAAACAACGAAAGTGACTGCGTTCATTTTTATATTGGGTGCGACACGCCTTTTTACATCGCATATGGCTGTTTGTACAGCAAGAATCATAGGTTTTCATTTCCTTACAGACTTTGCACGCGAATAATTGTTGCTCTGTCCATATTTCCATAAACTTGGTCGGGTCCGATTATAACTCGTAAAAGTGTATTATGCAAGCGTCCACTATTCAATAATCAAGCTGTAACATCGTTGTCAGTGAGATCACTGCACTATCTTATACTTCGTTAAGTACACTCCTTGACAAGGGAGCGTCATTATTAACTGAATTAGAAATTGACGTAATGAACTATCAAAAAGGGCCCTTTTTACAGCTTTCCAGTGGCTGCGTGCATAATAATTATGTTTCAAACCGGCAAGCCTAAAGTGGGTTCAGCTATTGATTAGTTTTCATCATGTGAAAAAAATGTGTTAATTTTGTTCTATGTAATTTTTTGGACTGGACAATTTTAGAAATATCCAAGGAAACATTGCAAAAACTGGGTGTTAAATTTAACACCCCTTGTTTTATCAGAGGACTACACTAACACTTTTCAATTAACACTTATAGGTGTGCAAACTAACACCAGCTGTGTTAAAGTAACTCGGTACGGCGTGGTAATCTGATAACACGAAAATGTGCTGATTTGATAACCAGAGTTTTTGTAGTGAAGAATTAGGGAAAAAACTATTCGTAAATGGTGGAATTTAAGTGGGAATGTCGTGTATGATTGTCAAGTGCGTGCAATTTCATATGAGCTTTTACGAACTGCACAAGTGTCTCACATTTTGTTTATTTGAAAGTTCTGGGGGAGAGTATTTTAAACAATTCCAGACAAATGTGGTACATGTATATCCTGGAAAAGTTTGACCATTGCAAACTCTGTAGTAGAGTTCTTCGATAGATCACTTCAGCAGAGGGGCTGCAACCTTTTCTTATTTAAGAAATTACAGTAAATGGGAATGCAAAAGCACGAGAGGGTCCGGCAAAAGGGATAAAAGGATCTTTGCCAACAACCGTCTAGAACGAAGAAGAACTTACAATTTCCAACACACGTCACCCTCACTACCACCCACTCTCAACCCGCGCATGAAATTGTGGTTTTTCCTTATGATTAATATTGTGTGGAAAAAAACAACAACAAATAGTACTGAAAATTAGTCTACAGTGTATATGTGTATATGACTGTGCTGTGACGACATGAACAAAATTGTCAATTATTGACGTTGCTTCTCCCTGCTTCGTCGTGATTAGTGTCATTCTTGCAAAATGAGTTAAAGTGAAATCTTAGTAAAAGGAGAAATTACGAGATACTACGAGAAGTTGCTGCGAGTGTATATTATTTTGGCATTGTATCACGCATGTCATCAAATCTCAATGCTGTGGGATGCATCTCCAAAGACAGACTAGGGCATTTTTCACTCTTCACATAATCATACCATTTCCATTCAATCAAGTCTCCCGTTATAGCTTCAGTGAACGGGGGAATATTTCATCATGTTCCTATATTGCTTACTGGACGGATGTAATAAGGGGGTCCTCGTCAAAATAAGCTCTAAATGTCAATGGCCTTGTGCCTCGAAAGATCAAACTATATGTGGTGGGGAAAGAGCCCGGGTTAATGGAGTCCGTGGAGTCAGTCCTTCGTGCTTTTTGCAAAAAGGCATGACCAGTTGTACATTAAGACCAGAGCTTTCCCTGTCTCCAGCCTGTAAGATTAAAGTGAAAAATTACAATTATGGGGGGAGGTACTTGATTACTTTTTACCCGATGACTGGTGATCTTAACAGCATTTTACAATCTCCCCAAATGTATTTATAGCGTTAACTGAAATTGGAGATTTGTTCTTGTCCGAGATGCTGCGGTTATTCCCGTGTGTTTATGGAGAACTTGTGATCGACAACTTAAAATTTCCGCGAAATTGAGCAAGAACTAATCAGTGTGAAAAATTGATTCAATCCGCGAGCATGTGTCAGAAGGTTTTTTTAGAATCATTTGTTCACCTTTCCTAAGTGGTTGATATATCTCACGCAGTATTAGCGCCCGCATGTGTTTTCACTGTTGAACGAATGCAAGAATAGTTTCTAGTCTGAAAAATGTGTGATTTTACAAAAGCCCCGTGGCTCTATCAAGTACATGTATATATTTTCAAAAACTGAAGTATATTTTTTTTCGAAGTTCGTTTTTCATGAAGCATAGGCTATATTTTTCAGTTTTGTTTTTAAGAGATGTATTTTCCCCAAGGTTAATATAGACACATATTCTATACAGTTCGTTCTCACGAGATCTATTGTTAGAAAGATTTTTTTCAATTATTGGTAACGGCATCTATTATTTGATCAATTTTTATGAGATTTTTTTAAAGTTACTTTTAAAGAGACAAATATTTTCAATTTGATTATATTTTTCATGAAAACGAAGTTCAAAAACATCTTTTAAAAACGATTCATTCGTACAGGTCAAAATTTCGAAGGAATCGATACTCTGGCCAGTAATCATCCGTCACAGAATCGAGCACATCGCGGAACCATTAAAATTAACGTTCGCCCGGGCTTGCAGATCAAAATATTAGTTTGATCAGTGAAAGAAGGGAGATTATATCAAACAAAAAGGGTCCCGAAACCAAGACAACGCGTTGACAAGTGAAATGAAATCACAACACATAAAATCTACAATATGGAAAAAAAAGCATCCCGACAGGCAAACAAGTATTGATTTGTATTCTTACATTCTGAGTAAGGTTTATTCTGCTTGGTCATGGCTGATATTGGCAAGCCAGAAGTTCTTGGACAAGAAAACCGAATGATGTGGAACACACGCACTGACGTCCTAATACCACTTTATTTTCCACGATTGCTTCGTTATGAGTAAACGTGGACATGCTCATCAGGTTGAACAATGCATTCTAGTAAATGTTACATAGCACTGGGATAGTCGTAGACTACATAATAGCCACTATTGAACTAGAATCACTAAGTTAACCTTGGCATTCCAAAGTCCTTTAACCTTCAATATAAATTGTTTCCCACCGTGGGAAGTTGAGTTTAAGGACTGCGGCACAAGTGGCAAGATAAATATCGGGGTGTGGATCTTTCTGGCGATTTTATAATTGGCTGAACTGAAGAAAGATTCCACAAGCTCCCTACGACACATTTCTTCCATAAACCCAGTTGCTCTTCTCAATGCTTGCCTAAATGTATGTAAATTTATTCATATTTTGCATCAAATGTATTTTCCTTTTAATCCAAAAATATATTATGCCAGTACAGATATAAATGCAATGCTGGAGTAAATCAGTGAATAATTCATTTTTAACACGTAACAGTCCAATTTGTCTCAACAAAAGCCTGCATGACTGAACAAGCTCTAGACACTTTATTTTTAAATTTCTGCTGATGCGACAACTCTTGATCACAAAAACTCACTTTTATATTCAATGCAGTCACAGTATTGCTGATAACTTTTTTTATAAAGGATTCCCAAGTCAACCAAGTCAGTTCATTGAACAGAGTAAAGGTCTTTCCAAATCCGTGTTTTCAGTGCACCTCAACTGAGTAAGTGAAAGAGAGTGATTATTGAAACTGTAGAAAAATAAAATGTTTCGAACAGATGTGGATATAGAAAGGTCTAAAAAAATTAATGGAAAGATACTTCAAAGGCTGGTTCACTCTCAGAGCAAAAAGCAAACGGAAATATACAATGTCATCTCGAATAGTTATGCTGCGAATTCACAAAAGTTGAACACTTTAAACTCAAGCCAATTTCAATGCAAATGTTTTGTGATGTCAGAAGTATAAAGCGGCCTTTACAAGCTTACTCCTGGACGGAGAACTACCCTTGGAAAAGTCTCGTTCTGGGATCGCCAGGAGAATCGGCTTGGTTGAACTGAGCCTGCCGCAGTCTAAGGCTGGGGGCCAGCTCACTGGAGTGATGGGTGGGTTCCGAGAGGTGACGAGCTCTCAGGACCAAGGGAGAGCTATCAAAGAAGGCACGGAGTTGGCGGGGGGACGGAGTCTGGCTAGGACGGGAGAGGGGCAGCCTGGAGGAGATGGCTCTGGACGGAGTGGGCCACCTGAAGAATAAGTTTAAAATGGTCAAAGTAGGCCACAATTTGAATACAACTTACGAGCCTTGGACTCGTCAGCATACAAGCTGTCTACATCTGTATCAGCACACCAATAATATCTAAGCAGTGCTTCAGACTGCACTATGAAACCATTTAGGCACTACCCGTCTTCTAAATGGTCGACAGAGCACCAAATAACCTTATTAGGATATTTGACTATTGGGATCACTCGACAAAGTGTAGGAAGGCATGGCTATATGATGTAGTCACACGGTTATACACAGCTACTGGTCCTGTCAGTGCTCTACAGCTTGATAATGTTGGCTGTATTTTGGTTGTGTTGTTGTCTGTGTCCACAAGCAAGAAGCTTTACCTCAATTTTTTTCCTAAATTGTGCAATTAACAGGATCACCAAGCAAGCAGAATGATTTTCTCCCCATGTGATTTACCTGTCTCTTGTTTCACAAGGCACTGAGCTGACAAACTGTTTCCACTGACGGATGCAGGGGAAGTTGTCTGGTACCTCAACTTCTGCCAATGCTCTCCAGACATGGAGGTCTGTCCTAGTCGGTTGGGGCCTAAATTGGATTTTTAAATATAAAATATCAGTTGGCAATATTTAAACCTTGCATGGTTCTAAAGATGACACTCATGCCTTGAAGAGGTTTTTTATTTCAGATTATTTGCTTTTGGTTTGGGTATGTGTATTACTTCATTGGTTGAGCTCACCCTAAGATAAAACCGACATTCCCTAGGCCTCCACTGGGGGCGTTGCTCACGGCCCTGCGTGAGGAAACCATTTTTGGTGTCCTGAATATGTCGGCATTCCCATCTCCATTGCCTGATATAGTCTTATCTTTCTCTGGTTCCCTACATGCCACAGTCTCTGTTTTTAGGGATACATTCTTCTTTTCAGCAGTCCTGGGATGGCAATCACCCAATCCGGAAGTTGACAAGCTTCCCTGATCATGTATATCTCCATTCTGTCTTTGTGTTGAATCATAGTCTTCTTTGGCAGACATGATGCAAGAAGTGCCAGTCGTATCACCTACAGGCAAATCAGGATTCCCGTCTGTTTTCACTTGATTGTTGACTGACACTTCGGACTTTGAAGATATTTCAGATTGACACACAACGTCTACCACGTCAGAACCTTTTTGACAAGAGTCTGAGCCACCTGGTTCTGCGACAACACCGGGCAGCTGTTCACATTCTTCTGCCACTGTCTCTTGGCAATTTGCATTAGTACTGGTAGTTTCGGTTTCTGCCAACATACGCAGAGGATCTTGAGGCCGTCGGTTTCCATTCACCGTGTCCGTCGAAGATCTGGAATTCTCCTGGGACTCTGAGCAGGCTTCATCAGGCCGTCGGTTTCCAATCACCATGTCCGACGAAGATCTGGAATTCTCCTGGGACTCTGAGCAGGCTTCATCAGGCCGTCGGTTTCCATTCACCGTGTCCGACGAAGGTCTGGAATTCTCCTGGGACTCTGAGCAGGCTTCATCAGGCCGTCGGTTTCCATTCATCGTGTCCGACAAAGATCTGGAATTCTCCAGGGACTCTGAGCAGGCTTCATCAGGTTGTCTGTCAGGCTCAGATTCCATCATCAGCTTTTCAGCATTTCCTACTTTGCTCGTTTTCTTGTGTAGGTGACTCATGCCATCATTTGTATCAGCTACTTCTTTCCCTTTTTCTATGGAGTCAGCTGGCATGTCGTTACTCCCCAACTCAGCTTGGGACTCGGTTCTTCCTTCTCTTGCTCTTTCGCAGTCCATCCCAAAGCAGCTGGGTTGATCCTGCCCATCTCCACATGTTCTCATTTCCTTGGTACAGTCTGTCCCAACCCGATCATCTTCTGCACTGTCGATGGATACTTTTTCAAAGTCCCCTGCCAAGACCTTCATGACTGCTCCTGGCGAAACAGTAGAACACGTCTGCTCCTGTTTAACAGTGGACTCCTGAGTACCTACATCTGCATTTCATGAATAAAAACAAACATTTATATGGAGGAGTGTGTGGCCTGTTTGTGTCCTGAAAATTGTCACAGCAAAATATCCTATCCAGAGGGCTCTATTACATAATAAAAATCGGGGTCTAAAAAGTGACAATTTTCTCAATTCAAATTAAGTATTTCTCCATTGAGAAATATTCCAAACAGGAGCTGAAAGATTGTCTGATCCCCAAACCAACATCACAAGTGCCCAACAGTGATATCACGAGGTGTAGATGGGAAGAGCAAGAGGAAAAGATATCCGCCTCACCTGGTTTACAGGATATAATGTCATGATTGCAAATGGGGAAATGCTTATTCACCTTCATGGATACCGGTGTACCTCGCAGCTAGATACTTTTCCAGTTTTTGCAATCCTTGGGGTGAGGCCAGGTCAACAAACGCATCCAAGAAACTCCAGTACTCTGCCCAGGAGACCTTCATTTTGCTTGCTAACTCCCTGTTCATGGAAGGACGAGCACATCAAGCCAAATGAAAAAACAAAAATACGAGCACCAGTATCTAACAGGATTCAGGGGTGCTAAGATTAAAGCTGAAGCTCATACTGTGCGCTATGTGATAATTTGTTCACTCCTGTGAAAACATTCAGAACGCCATCTAGTCAACAGGATTCCAATATCCGAGCCATAACAATGAGGCTTGTTCAGTTTTTGTCAGTAAAAGTAGCCTCAAGAGCACTACAATGTTTGGAAAGGACCACTTGGATAATCCAGAACCCCTCCAAAAAGCTTATTCATGTTCTCAGTGATGGTATGCCAACCCAGTAAAGGTGGATCCAGATCCAACTTTTTTTGAAGGGGCCAGAAACTGTTTTGGAGGGCCAAAATCTGTGGAAATTTTTCTGTTACCTTTAATGGCCTTTCTGAGGGAAGAGGCTACATTCTGTGGCTGTTTACTTGCTTTTTTAAAGGTAGGAAAATGAAATAAACCAAAAAATTCGCCTTCCAATATTTCTACCCCAAAAAATAAAGGGCTCCATTTTATTGGGGGAGGGGGCAGGCCATGGCCCCCCACCCTGGATCTGTCAACAAAACCCACAATATGAATAAGTGAGGATGTACCACCACACCAAACTGGTTGTAAGGTGTCACAGACGAAGAAACGATTCAAGGCGAGAATCGTTCCTACCTTCCTATTCTCTCCACTCCTTTCTCTCCATCTGCTCGTCGGATTCTCCCCACACGCTTCCTCTCCATGGACGGAGGTGTTTGAAGATTTCTTCGAAAGCATCCAGCCTTTGTCACAAGAGAATACATAACAAACCATAATACAATCCCAAAACTGTCCTTATTTTAAAAAACGCCATAAATGTAGATGAAACAAGAGATGCTATTAAACCTATACATGCTTTCAAAATATAAGTGGTTTTTACAGTAGAAGATGTAGCAACTAACCAGAGCGAATAGAAATGGATATACATTTAATCAATTTCAAACAAACTAAAAGTGAAAACATAGGATCAATATATAGGCCATGCACTGTCAAAGTTTGCAAAATGTCACAGTCACAGATGCTCAAAGGTCGACATGGTCAAAGGTCGTGCACAACCACATGGTCATGCACAAGTTGTTTATAGTGTTTTGTTCACATTGGTGTTTGTAAGAATTGTTTTACAAATCTTCAAAATAAACCTTGCCTTTGTGTCTCAGTTAACCTCAGTTCAGTTTGTGTTTCACTATTTCAAATGGTTTTTAATGCCTTTTTGGCTTTTATGTTAATGAGTAATTTCCATATTCATAAGCAAACTGTGATGTCATTCCAGGAAGCAAGCCTTGATATTAAATTGGTTTGTACAAAAAAAATTGCTTTTTTGAAGACTTTTCTCCAATTTGGTGATTCATTGTTAAGACAGCAATAAGCCAGCAATCAACCCTTTCAGAGCAACTTTTCAAGAGGGTAAATTCTGGGTACACAAACAACACAAAAACCTATGCACTGAACTATGCCTTCCCTCGATGACATCAAAACAACAGCGCCCTCAGTTGTCCACTAAAGCATATGGATAATTCTAAACATATTTATAAAAGTGCATTTTTCAATGCATTTAACCAAATAAGGATGAAAATAGTTTTCACACACTGAAGAAGAGAATACAGTTGCAGAAATATTGTGTCTAAGAGGAATTCATGGCAGTTACCCTTTAACCGATTGGAGAACAGAGGACAGTTAGGTCGAGTTCGGGCGGCCTGTTCTTGACCCGGGTTTCTTGTTCTCGCGCTCAAACGGCGGGAACACGACTCAAGAACACTGTTCTCGGAACAGGATCACACACCACCTCCTCGTCACGGTTTTACAGGAACACACGGAAAAACTCGTGAGATTTCGATTTTTGAACAGCTGCAAAAAGTAGAGAGATGGCTTCCAAAGCCACAGACAATGGGAAGTTTTGCAAAGTTAGCATTAATTATTTTCCATAACACAGAAATGAATGTTCCTGTTTATATAGAAAAGAATTCAGCCCATCCAGACATTAACTCTCGAATAACGTAGCCTACATGGACGCCACCATGTTGCTTGTTACTAACTACCAGCGGTAACCGGTTGTTTGTTCCCGCCGTTTGAGCACGAGAACAAGAAACCTGGGTCAAGAACAGGCCGCCCGAACTTAAAAATGCTTTAAAATGAGGATTTTCCATGTAATGCGCCTAGACTTCCACTGGCACAAACAACACATGAAGTCTTGATTCAAGCAATCAGTTCACTCAATGTCAGTTTTACGCACATGATGCCCATCCATTCGACATGTCTCTCTTTGCCTGTCACTGAGAGTGCCACTGACACAGAGTACCATTAGCAGGTAATTGACAATGTCCGTAACAGCATGCAGTAGTGACAAAGAAAAAAGACCAACCGTGCCGACAATCTCAATATGTGTGGAGGTTTCATTTTTCCCAGTCAGCGCCCATGTGCCCGAGGCAGCATTTAAAACTGTGCAAGTACCTCTGCCGGAGACATGGGCCCTGCATAGGCTTGCAGGGACAGCACTGCGTTGATGGGGCTCTCCGCTCCAGCAGGCCTGGTGTGAAACAGGGGACTGGATTGGTGGTCCGACAGGTCAGGTGACCATGGCTCGCCAATGACGGGCGGCGTACAATTGCCCTCTGACCTGTAGACTGGTACGTAGTAGTTTTCTGGTTGAATCAAATAAAGTGTCGAGAAACGTAAGGGCACTTGGGCTTACCATAAAGAGAAATCAAATGTCCAAAGCTTTGCAATGAAATTAAATTTGATATGATGTTGAAAATGCATTTCTTCACAATTACAATTAAAAACAAACTTTTTTTAACCAGTCAGGGCCCACGTGCCCTGCAGCATTTCAAACAGTGCATGTACCTCTGTCAGATACATTGGCCCTGCATAGGCCTGCAGGGGCAACACCGCACTGACGATCACCTTTACACATTTATATTATTACGTGTTACATACATATTAACAAGAAGTTTTAACACAACAAATCAGAAGAAAAAATCAAAGGATTCTAGCAGTACAACACAGGACAATTTCTATTTGTAAGTTTCTTGTCCTTGTAGCTGTCAACCAAAAGAAAGACTACTTTCAGTTAATGGACTCAGGAATCTCTAGACGAGGTTGGGTAATATTTCTTTTCAGTACTCTCAAACTGAAGTAAGTACTGATTGACTGAACAGTCTAACCTCAGACAGACTGTTCGTAATTTTTAAACATCCAGGGCAAACAGAGGCATTCTCTTACCATGCAGAATATCTGATATCGTTTTCTGGAGCTGTCTCAGTGCAGTACCAGACAAAGATGACCGAGAGCACACAATCTAGAAGAAAATGTGAGTATGTTCAGACCACACTGGCACGTTTTGTCTTTATGCATCCGACTGGTTTTGATCTTCACCAATGGCATTTGGACATGTTGAGTTGGGTTGACTATTAAAGGTCAGGTCAGGATAGGTTGTGCTGGGATACGTTGAGTGTGATTGGGCCAGGCAGAATTGGGTGGGGTCAACCTCAGTTGGGTTGGGGTTCAGTCAGGTCGAGTTGGGTCAGGAACAGGTCAGGCAGGTCTGGGTGGAGTTGTGTTGAGTCAGATAAGTGTGTACATACTAAGCTTCTTTATTTCCACTTACTTCACTCCCAGTTTGCCCATCACCGTTTTTCAGTGTCTTATCACATTGCGGGTGATTGATGAGTATTTCAACCACCTTCGCGTTGCCAAATTTGCATGCAAAATGTAGCGGCGTCTCAGCATTCTACACAAAAAAGACAATGTGAACAATTTTCAAATTCCATGAACAAATCAGTGGCAATACCAGCATCATATGACACTGTGTTATAATGACAACCAATGGCAAATATTCATTCTTGACTACTATTGGAGTGGCAGTCCTACAATGTGACTCATTTTGCTTGCAGTCTGAACATCTCCGATACTTCCTTCAAACTTTACGCAGCCTCACCCCTTTGTCGGGAGAGTTGAGGTATAGATCAGCCAGGTAGTCTTTCCTACTGACGATGGTGTCTTCTGGGTCGTTGGGGTACATCATCAGGATGTAGGCCGAGTCACAGATGGTGGCCAGAATCTGTGCGCAGATCTCCGGTCGGTTCTCTTTGGCAGCGACATGCAGTGCGTTGTACCGAGACCCCTCCTGGATATTAAAGGAAAATGACAGAAAATGCAAGAACTTGCAGGCAAATGTCCTGCTCGTAGACGCAGAGCACTTCCACCCATGCCCAATTCCAAACGATTTCAAAAGACATGATCCATCAAAGCCATCCACTTGTGAAAACCCAAGAGTACTTTTCACCTGCAAGACAGTGGGGCAGTCACCGGCATTGATGAGGTACCTCGGGTTACTCCACACCAACTCCTTGAATTTGGCTGCATCATTAGCCTCGATGGTCCTCCGCAGTATGACAAGATCCTGAGTCTTCACTGAGCGAAAGCTACTGACTGGTTTCTCTGCCAGTGACTGCACAGTAAACAAAAAGGCAATTTACCTCATGTAGAAGGAAAAGTGCAGAATCCTCTCATCCTTTCACTGAAAGGTTCAGTAGCGAAAAAAAAAACAGTCACAGAAAACTCTCAGGACATGCTGGATTTGGCCTTAATCCACTCCGAGTTGAGGTGCACCATCATCAGCCAGAAGAGGCAGGCTCTTCATTCTCACACCCGGTGCACATGTAACTGGGGGTGCACCATCCCTAGCATAGCCTTCTAATGCACTAGTATGGACCTATGAGTGCATGCGGTGAGTTCTCAGTAAAGGATAGTGGTTCTGTAAGAACCCTTTCTAAATTATTCCAAGAAGCTTCTACTACTGTTTTTCCCAAGTCTGCATACCTGGCTCAGCATTGGCTCCATTGCTGGCTTGGGTGTGCTGAGGTCCTGATTGCTCTTGGCAAAACTCTCAGCCTCTTCCTTGGTCTTGAACACCTTGAACCGGGCACCTTTATTCTTTTTTGCAATGTTCAATGCCTCTTTCCGGTCCTGAAAGATTAATATCTCATCTAAGGGGACAAAAATGGGAAAACAATCTTTTTATCATAAACAAGTTAACTATAACCAGATTTTGCATGATTCAAACTGCACTTTAATTACTTATTGAGAATTCCCAGTGCGTTATACACTCTGTGTGATTCTCAAGCAATTGTACTAGAACCCTAAAAACCTGGTAAACTGATCAATTAATGCGAGATAATGAGGCAATAAAGTAGAAAACCTCTTTTAAGTTAAAGTGAAACCAAGCTTTCTCGTTATCAGACCTCATGACGAGCACCCTAAAATAGCTATAAATCTTTTAAAGCTGTACAAGATGAATGTATAATGAGATTCCCTCTATGTAGAATACTTCTGTGCAAAATCAATATCACAAGAAAACTAAGTTTAATATGGCTAGTAATAACACTAGTCATAGAATCGTCGTCCAGTCCAATAGATACTGCTATACTTCTTGTTGTCTACCCGAGTTTCCAGTTCCCTGTGATGAGTCAACGTCATCCCCTCCAGCTGAACTCGACTCGTTCTTGGGTGGTATGCAAACGGCAAAGTAGCTCAACACGGTCCCTCCTGCAGATTTGGTCGGTGAATTTTGTTCCCCGGGTTCAGTCACCGAGTCCCCGCCACCCGTCTCCTCCTTCTTCTCGGCGCTACTGTCCCTCTCCCCCTCCTCTGGTACCCCCCCTCCCTGTAGCTGCCACAGGTGCTTAGCGAGGCAGCGCTGCACCAGGGCACGGGTTGTCTTGGTGATGGGTATGGGCTTCAGTCCGCAACCCCTCAATTCGGCACGCAGTTCGTCCTCTGTCAGCTTGGCCAGGCGTTGCAAGATTGCATCCATCTTGACAATGAATCTTCTACAGAACCAATGCTGGAAAACACACAGACAAACACAGAATAGCAATGAGTCCTTCTTTTTGCTCTCTCTAGCACCCTTCTCGTGCTTCCCTATCAACAGCTCATGAGGCAGCGTCAAATCACGAACCACAAAGGGCTATTAACTATCTTATAGGATAGCTGCCACTTGCACGAACAATCAATGATACCCAGCGAAAAAAAATTTGAAAAAAAATTTGGGTTACAGTGCCATTGCATGATGTAAACAGTGAACAGAACTCAAAAACTGAATTTTACTGAATTACTTCTTAGGAGTTATTGTTTGAGGTGCCTTGTAAAACACAAACTGATTGGCATAATTTGGTCATTTGTGCACGTCCATGCCACCCTCAGGCCAGTGAGTGACCAGAGTAGAACCTTCTTCTCATCACTGCCACCGGGGTGTGAGTGGCCACTTAAATTTAAAGCTGAAAACAGCTAGCAAAAAGCAGAAATGTAAAAAGTTCCCATACTTTTATACAGACCAGGTATACAAAAAAGCTGAAAATCAGGATCAACATCTAAACGAAATAGGCTGAAATCAGCTAAAAAGCTAAATTCTCACACCCCTGCTACCAGTCCCTAATCAGGGAGAACTGGCATGCACTAGTAATAAGGACCTCACAATCACACTGTGCCAGACTTTAGGTCCTAAATTATAAATGTTATGCCCCAACTATAGCATCAGTCCCAACTATAGTTGGGCCCATTCCAATTATAGTTCAGCCCATCCCAACTAGAGTGCTACAGTTGGGCCGGCCCAACTACAGCAGAGAGGTCCTGTGCGCATGATGTGCCCACCATGTGCCAAAGTCATATTGTTTACAAATGTCATGCCACTGGTCATAGGGCTAGATGAACAGCTGAAGTGCCACATTTTAGATGAATTGTGTCAAATGTGAGACACATTGACTTGGATAATGTTGAGACATTTTCCACAGCCATAGCTTAACAATAGTTGGGCCAGCCCAACTGCAGCAATAGTTGGGACTTTTGCAACAGTTGGGGCGTAACATAAACAAATATGGGAAAGGGGGTCAGGCAGTTAGGCTGCACTAAACTTAATTCTGCTTTAAGTTCAATTATTAACCTCATCGTGTGGGTTAACTAATCAACGTAATTAATTAATCATTAGGGCCCAGTGATCCTGAGCAGTCGATTATCCGGAACTGTTGTTGATCAACCCCCGTCATCACGTCTAAAACAACAAATGTGTGAGACGTCACTTTTGTGCATTGTCGATTGTCGCACGATCAAGTCGATCATGAACGTCATTAAAGTTTGTAACAGTATTATGAGTACAAGGGCCGTACCTATTGTCGACTAATTCATCTTCCACGTGAGAAAACTAGCTGTCTGTCACAAAATTGAAAGCGACAGTCGCACTGTACTTAACAGGTTTTCAACGTCTGAGCTTAGATTTGACCAAGGAATTGACTGGTACCACACAAGCAGGCTGTGCAGTACACGCTATGGACAATGGTTTTGATACCAGTGTAGCACCAAACATGGCGACGCCCACTGATAACTGACTTGTAATTCAGAGACTCAAAAACGGTAAGCTGCATGATTGGTTCCACTTCAAATCATTTTTATTTCTTCGAATGTCTAACTAGGAAAACCTCACAAAAATAATCGTCAGGGAAAATTAAAGATCGTGCGTTTGTTCTTATACGTAAATTATTTTTCATCATGTTCACCCTGTCCTTTTTCTAAACATGTCAGAACTAGTGGCCTAATGATTAGTAATGTGTGTCTAATGCTTAGGTCAGTTCCAAGTTCCATATATATATATATATATGGACGACACCAATTTCCCCTTCAAATGTTATAACAGCCGTCAGAAGGTGATAACATTAACTAAAAAGTGAAATTTAGCCGAGAAAAGTCTGAAGCATTTACTTTCATGTTCATGTAGAAAACACTGACTTAGCCTAACGTTAGGTCTACGTTTTTCAGACAAGTCTCATAGCCTTGTGCACAGCCTTGTGCACAGGGGTATCAGGTGTTGTCTGCATAGGTAAGGCCTATGTGAAACTCTTTCTTTACATTTTAATTTTTGGATTCACTTTGGCAGATGATGGTGACATCATGTCGATTAGATGCGGGGTTCATTTTGTGGAAAGAGGACCGGGTTTTGATTTTTGAGGGCAATTATGGGGTAAAAATTGTCAGTGTTGATAGACCTGACACTTGGAAGTTGGAGGAATAATTTTCAATTGGTGATCAATCAAAAAGTGAGATTTTCTCAATTTACTAAGTCTAAATTCACAAAAAAACGGTGAGCATAATGGAGAAAACATTGCCTTTGGTTGCATTCTTTTGGGAACTGACCTGTTTGTAGGAATAATAGAAATGGAAGGGTTCCAAAGTACACAACCCCCACTATTAAAGTTGCATTGCGTGCCAAAGCTTAAATTATTTTACCTGATATATGTGTATAATTTGCAATGATGTGTAGGGGATGCTGTTACACCCCAACTATAGCATCAGTCCCAACTTCCCCTATTGTTGGGACAGTCCCAACTAAAGAGCTATAGTTAGGCCAGCCCAACTGCAGCACTACAGTTGGGACGGATGCTAGAGTTCGGGCATAACAATGGTAATGGTTTTGGGATGTTTGAGTCAAGTCGGATGCAAACCTTGACAAGAGTTCCACATTCTGTGTTTTCATTAATTGAAGACAAGTTTGTTCAGCCTGAAAAAAGCTGAAGTTGACGGTGGAAAAGTTGTTTTAACATTAGGCCATGTTGGCCATCTTTGTAAAACTCTTTAGTGTTTATAAAAGTGGAGCTGGAGAATCAAGGTGATCAGATACAGAAATCTTTCCATATCTTCCATTACTCCTCTTTTACATTTAAGTGCCTGTCTTTCATACTCTCTTTCCCAGTACTTTTCTTTTAGTTTTAGGACGCTTCTTGTTGAGCTCATTTGATGAATTCTTTTCTGATATCAGTACGTGACGTTGAACTGTTGTTGAGACCTGTGTACACTTAGACAGTGCACCAATTGTCCTCATTACTGTATATCATTATTCAGTGTTGGGACTTTGTATTTGTCCAGTTCTCAGCTTGCTTTTCTTTTCATTCACACAGGTACATGTGTCAAGGCATCTGCGAAATCATGGCAGATGATACCAGCCCCCATCGTTACTTGATAGATGCTGAAGAAGAAAACGAACCCACCCTTCCCCTCCCCACACCCCTCCAAGATGTTCCTTCCACCAACGTTTTGGCACATAGCATCTTTCCGCCTCCAGTTGAACCAGAGAGTAAATCTGATACGAGCAGTGGGGAATGTAAAGCTGTTCACTTGGTGATGACAAATGGCTTTCTGAGCGCAAATGCAGAAATCGGTCTCGACGACACTGTCCCCCTAGGAGGCCGGTTACTCCATGATGACCCTGGCGAGAACGATGAAGAACATTGGACGGAAAATGGTCATGTGCAGTTTGAGCTGGGTGATCGTGCTCATGTCTCAGTAATCCGTTATCCACGACTCAAGTACGTAAGAAATAAAATGCCTGTCTTCTCTAAATACATGTAACTTGAGATTACTATTCTTTGTTTATTTTTTATTTTATTTATTTATATATATGTTCATCCAACAGCGTATTTACAGCCAATTACAGGATGAAATGACAGTTAAAAAGACAATGACGAAATGTTAAGTTTAAGAGGTGGAAGGAAAACTGTTTTTTTATTGTTTTATATGAAATTGAACTTTTAATATAACAATTTGAAATTTTAATATCATGAACCTGTAAACATTAAAACGTAGCATTAAAATACACAACACAATGTTAATATGCATAAAATTAGCAATAAACGAATAAGTTCTTTTAAAGAATATGTATTTTAAGACCATTACAAGTTTACTTAAACACAAACATATTTACAGCCGTGCATTGAAATAAAATGTCATCAAGCATCTGCAAGATTGTTTTTGATGAATTATGGTCTTCTTTGTAATCATTGGGTTTGGAGGGCTTGTTAGATCATACAAATTAAGAGCATCGGGTACGATTCAAAATTTGGTCTAGTGTCATGAGCAGATTAATTACATAAGCTGCATTGTTAATCACACTTTTTCAACTATTATACAGACAGACATTTTTTATTTTGTTTATTTTTTCATGCATTTTCAAAGGAAGGCATGTGGTTTTTTCCCTAGAGCACAATCATCTAAAATGGAATGGAAAACTACATGTTTAGTATAATGTTTATATTACAACCTGAATCAATTTTGTTGTCACAGGAAGGCTAGGATGAGGACAAAGAGAGTTGTTGAACACTTAGCAGTCAGGTAAGCAGTTCAGTTGATATGAAAAGGGGGTTGAAAAGTGAAATTCGGCAGGTGCAGAAAATTGGGTGAATTTAAAAAGCATGATCAGATGTTTTGATAGCAATCTGTTTCTTGTGCGTCTTTACTCAACAGACTAATTGGTGTCGGCCTTGTCATATTTGACATCATCATTGTCATTTTGGACATAGTGTTCAACCCACAGAACATTGCAACCATGGAGGCTTACGATGCCATCTCTGTGGCAGTGTGGTGCTACTTCCTGATCGAAATTTGCCTGAGAATATTCGCCAAGGGGTAAGGTGCTTCGAGACTCTATTGTTTTGATCTCTAAATTCTTTTCTGAAAGTTTCAGATTGTCAAGCCATGTTAAAGTACTGGTGTAGAGTACTGAGGTGTACCAAATCTCTTTTGTCACTGCAAAAGTTTGACTCTATGAAAATTACCTCCCAAAATAGGTTTCCCTACCCTTTGCATCAGGTGAAGTAGTTGTTGCTACAAAAGCTCATGCAGTTTTTATGCTTCTCCTGTTAGTCTATAAACTGCTATCGCCTTTTTGCCATTGTGTCGGTGAAATTTGCCATTTGAGATTAAGAGAAAAGTTAGGTTTTCAATTTTCCTTATTTGTGCTCTTTTTTAATGAATAATGTCACTACGTTTGCTATGCATTTCCTTTCTAAACAGGAAAAAGTTCTTCCGAACTAAGCTGGACTTACTGGATCTTCTGATAGTGACAGTAACAGGGTCTGTCACCATTGTCTATGTGTCAGTTGACTTGACTGGAAGTTATTTGAAGTAAGTGGAGCATTGGTCATTTAAAATGTCGTGATACTGTAGAGAACATAACATAACTGGATTGGCTCTATTCAATTGTGACATACACCATTAGGAAATACACTGGGTAGAAAAGACTGGCCAATCTCATGCAGCTCAAGACGCTGTCCAAATCACTTGGTCGTAACTTGAAATTACACAAGAGTCTATGGTAGTGGCTTCAGCCACTGTCATAGACTCATGCGTCATTTCCAGCCGTAGCCAAGTACTTCGGACATGGCCTAAGGATGGAAAGTATTTGTTCAGCGAAGACGGATTTCTGTGCGAAGTGTCAATCAGAGGCCTAATTACAACTGGTTCTCACGTGACTCTTGCCGAGCACTTGATCTACTTGTAGATGATATTGTTCCACAAAAAACTTGTCCCAGGTGTGGTATTATAGACTCCTTGCACAGTGCGCCATCTGTTGCTTTGTAGATTGGTGGTAGTGTTTCGTGTTCTACGCATCTTCCTCCTGGTCAGGCTCCTGAGTGAAAGGAAACATGTATCCAAGGCAACAAGGAAAATGGTAAAGTCTTCAGTTTGAAACAAATCTTGTCTGGAAAGCTTTCTGACATCTTATGCTTTTTAATGGTTGTAAATGAATACATTAACCCTAACCCCCAAGGGACCATTGAAATCCTGCATAACCTTGTTGGGTTTAGCATGGTTTACAGGGCAAGGATTACTTTGCCTCTTTTCTTGGGACTCTGTGAGGAAGATTTTGTGGTTGATGTTAGCTTGGGCAATCAATTCCAGTACACCTAAAGATAGGTTCATACTTCAGGCAAATGCAAAACGAGTTTGACATCTACAAACACATTTGCACATTTGCACAAAATATTTTTTCTGACGTCAAAATTTCATTTTTGTGTTTGCTTTCGTGCTGAATATGAGGTGGCATTTAGTCTCCTCAGACTTAAGACTGAGGAGTTGAAATTGGTTCAGCAAGAGTTATTGCGTTAATCCGGTTCCGTTGCTTTATGTGAAGCGTTCTGACTGTCAAGTGTTGCTTGCATGGTGAAAAAGCCATGTAGTTATGGTCATTTATGATATTAAAGTTTCATCAGTCTCTTTCTGAAGAGGTAATAAAGATTGAGCACACATTCAGTTGGTCAGTTTTGCCACTTATTTGACATAGGTTTCCCAAAACAAAAGGCGGTACAGGGAGGACGACTTTGACCTGGATTTGACCTACATCACAGGTATTTGCCACATTTTGAAAATCTAAGAAACCTGCTGTCTCAAACTTTTTAGGTCAAGGCTCAGAATGAACAGAATAGCATTGACGAAGATGTTTTTGCTAGTCTGACAAACAAATCCCTGGCCCCACAGTTTGTAGTGTTAAGACTGTCCAGCCTTTGGTTCCTGCCTGGCTTAATTCTTGTCTATTTCAGGTGCTCATTCCTAGTGCACATGGTGACTTAAACTGGCACTCGTACAAGCCAGTGGATAGTTTGCATTGTTATCAAAGCTAAGTTGATATCATTGCCTGAATAGTCATATTATCAACTTCAAAAGTGAAACAATGTTCCCTTTGGACCAGTCGTTTGAAACAGTGCTCTTTCCAGTGCATTTTTGCCAGCTAGAGTGAACAGAGAATAGGTTAACATTCCCAGGCCGTAAAAGGTCCTCTCTCACAGAGGTGCCAAACTGTGTTTTGTGCCATAATTTTGATGACTCCTTCCTCAGAGACTCATGTTTCCCTTAAATTTTTCCTTTTGCTGTTGCAGACCGAGTCATAGCCTCTTCCTTCCCTTCGTCTGGCAGCCAGGCTATCTACAGGAATCCCATTGAAGAAGTGGCCCGGTTCCTGGACACCAAGCATCCAGACCACTACAAAGTCTACAACTTATGCAGTGGGTTTCCCATTCTCTCTTATTGGATAGCTCTCATCAGGGACCAATACTTCATAACCTTCGAATTCATTCAAGAATCCAGAACCATGCAGAATCCTTTTATACTGAGTGTTTTGTGCCTGCCATCAGTGTTTATTTGGAAGCACCGTAATTTAAGACAATGATGTATGAGGGCTTCTGAAAAAATTCACCAACTTTAATAGTCGCTCTGCTTACTAGTGCAGACGTCTTACCGCTTGCCCACCAAGCTTGCCAGGGTCAGCTGACCACATTGAGTCAGATGGAACTTCGGTACTGTAATCAAAAATTTTGAAAGATGTAGTTTTGCACCTTGGGAGTTTTTGCCCTACAGCAATGTATATTTGTAATCACTGTATGCTCGTTGATGTCCATAACAAAAAATTCAGTTAAGTAAACAAGATTGTATGTTGTTCCACGTGCTTACGTACTTAGTGAGTATTGGCAGAATTTGTATAATATTTTCAAGCTACTTTGGAATCACTTTTAATGGAGTTCTTGCAAATCTCCAAAACATTCAGGATTTATTTGTGATGGAAATTATCCTCTTTGTCTTTGTTGTCCCAAATTGAACTTGAGCCCATGAATTTCTATCGAGCACATTTTGTACTCTAGTCCTAATGATTTTGATGAGGTTGAATGTCCCGATCATTTCAAGGGCTTTGGAGCAGTTTCTTTTTTTTTCTCCTAATGTTTTTATTGAGAGTTCACATCATTGGATCGATCACATTATACTGGTATCATTCACTTGCAGTTGAGCGACACTATGATGAGTCTTTTTTTCACAATCGAGTTGGCAGAGTTCTTATTTATGACCACAATGTTCCAAGACTCAAGTGAGTAATGATTTCAAGAAAATGCTAGTTTTTTTTTTCTTTTATTTTTAAATTTCACAGATTCACAGTCTTTTTCAAACAGGTTTTTTAATTAAAAAATACAGTAAAGCTAAATTGATTTTTCTGAAGAAAGAAAAATAATGTTATGTATAATTTGTGTTACCCATGTGGGTCTTTTGGTTGACACTGGTCAAATTAATTTGGTTGGCTCATTTTGACAGTAATCAAGTAGTTTCAATATTCCCCTGCATTCAGAGACCTTGTGGCATTCTGCGCTGATGCAAGGCAGTGGATGGAAGCAGATAACAAGAATATTCTCTTCATTCACTGCAAGGGTGGCAAAGGTAATGCACATGTATGTTTTTACGGAAGATGGACTTTATTATTTTATTCATTAAATAATAATACATGGAAGCTAGGTACATGTGCTGTGGGCTTCAGTACTTAAATACATAAGTTTTGTTTTCAAATCTCAGAGCCAGAGGCATCAGCACAAAATAAGAAAGAACAGTCTTGGAGGAAGACAACATTATAACAAGCCCAGCCAAACAACAACAAAAACCTGCAACAAAGGACAGAATGTCAAGAAATGCATCCCCCAAATTGATGTGTATTAGCATCTTAACAATGAGTTCGCATCGTATGCCAAAAGAAATTACTAAATGTTCCTTTCTTGTTGCAATTTTCACTTTGTTTCCCTTCTGTCGCAGAGGAGCTTTTGATCATTAAACGTTTGATATGTTATCAATTTTGTCCCTTTTCAAATTTTTTATTTTTTTGTATGTAGGAAGGACTGGTCGTATCGTATGCCTCAAAAAAATTACTAAATGTTCCTTTCTTGTTACAATTTTTACTTTGTTTTCCCTTCTGTCGCAGAGGAGCTTTGGATCATTAAATGTTTGATATTGTATTAATTTTGTCCCTTTTTACATTTTTATCTTTTCGTATGTAGGAAGGACTGGTCTGGCCGTCTGTGCTTGGCTGTTAGAGAGTGGAGTGTTCACTGATACCAAGGTAGGTGTCTTATCCGAATCTTTAGATGTGTTTCTCAGGGTGAAAACAATGTCTGATAACTCCCTTTCTTTGCAGTGGATCTGTGAATCAATGTTATTTTCAAGTTTTTCCCTCATGGAACAAAATATCAATTCTAACTTAGTTTTTTCTTAGTTTTTTAAGTCTCAGTTTTTCTCATGAGGATCTAGTTTCATTCTGTGTTGGAACCCATGGTATGTTTCCTGTACTTTCCAATATTGTGGATTTTTTGTATATGCAAGAATTAACTATCTTTTTAAAAGCTGTTGTCTTCGATGGACATCATCAGAAATGTCAAAAACCACGGAGGAGAATTTGTTCATCATAAGACTACAGTCTGACATAACACTCTGCATGTGCGAATTCTTTGTAAGATTATATTCAACTTGTGAACCTATTCAACCTATCACCTCGTCAGTAGTACTTTTACATACTAAAATCTCACCAGTTGATCTTTGAAGTTCCATTTTGATTGTGCTGTGTTGCAGGAGTGCATGGGGTACTTTGGCGTTAGGCGGACTGACTACACAGAGGGTGATATGTACCAGGGTGTTGACACACCCAGCCAGGTAAGCACTTTAATACATTCCAATCAGATTGATCCTTTTTACCAACTCCCAATACCCCAAGACCTTAACATACACGTATTAGCGTCAGTAGACCCTGAGACCTTAGCATCACCACGTAGCTCTGAATTCGCAATTCCAGCTCACCAGAAGACATTAAGAATTTCCCCCAAGACATCAGCATCTTTGCAGTGAAAAAGAAACAACATGCATCAGAAAACTTGCGAGATGTTTTTAAAAGATTTTCCAAATATGACAGTGATTGCTTGTATGAGACCCATTACATTCTGAAGGGTTTTTATAAACAGCACTTTTTGATCATGTTTAGTACGTACGTAGCATTGAATTTTCAATTCTAACACATTAGAAGACGTGGGATTTTCTGTGATGACACTGCATCACGTAATACGAACTGCTGTAATTCTGAGTAATATTGTCTTGTTTCAATGGAACCCCATTTTAATGTTTTACTAACTTGAAAGCCTTTGTTTTTTCGTTAACATAACTGGCAGAGTCGATATGTGGATTACTTTCAAAAAATCAAATACTCCCTAGGCGGACATGTTCCATCACCAACTCCTCTGACAATCAACACTGTTCGTATTTCAGGAATTCAAGGTAAGTCAGAAGAAGAAGTCAAGTGATTTGCCCAGCTTTCCTTTGTCTTCTTTCCTGCACCCTTCAACTATTTCCTGCCACCAAAGGTTCCGTCAGACACAGTCTTGCTCCAAATCATCAAACTACAAAGGGAAAGTGACCCCTTCTTTTGAAAAAAATCAGTGGAAAAGTTGCTGAAAAGAGAATTTGGGGCTGTAACCGCATGAAGTTCACACAGTTTCAACTTGTAATGGACTGAACAACCACACTGTTCAAGGCCTTGTTCATCTAAATTTCTTTTTTTTTCTAACCAAAAATACACTGTCATATCTAACAGGTTTCCAACTCCTGTCTTTTCTCAACTCTGTTCTCAGGTGTTGGTAAAGGTGATGGAAGGGATTTGTGGATGGAGGTGCACTCTGATGAAGTTTCTCTTTTCTCCTGCGATTTCCGGTGTAACATCAATTGCAGTGTAAGCACAGTGGGGTTGCTTGTGCCATTTCTAAATGCACAGTTATGCCAATGGCATTTAGAGGGAAAGCCCTATCTTAATGGTTGTTCAGACACACCTGTAGTTTATCTGCATGGACACAGACTCATCTAATGTGCTACATGTGACTGTTCTGAGCTTTGAATTGTGAGTTTGGAGTGCCTTTAAAACTTTGAGTGCTAATTACAATCACTGTCATCAGCTTAAGTCTGTGATTGTTTTTTGTGTTCTGATTTGGTTGATTTCACAGGTGGTTTATGACTTTGACATGGACACTGTGATAATTCAGGTGAAGAACTCCCCTGCATTTAGCGGGGATGTTCAGATCAAGTTTAAATCTTCCAACAAAGTGAGTATATGATAACCTTGAAGTACTATAAATATGGTACAACATAGCATAAATATACTGCCAGATGGATTTTATATTTGTCCACCAAAAGTTAAATTGTTCTTGACACCATAATAATATCAGTGAACAAAAGTAACTTTTAAGTTTTATGATAGATACATTAAGTTGTGCAATCTATTTTTTTCCCTTTAAACAGAAAATTCCCAAAGCATATGGAGAATGCGCATTCTTTTTCTGGTTCTACACAGGCTTTATCAGTGACAACAGGTAATGCAACATTTCCTTAACTAAATATGGAACGGTGAAACAGTTATTTTCAAAATCTGTGTTATTGCTACACCTCAAAAAGTAGTGTAAATGATAGTGTTGAGCTCTTTCTCTTTGTACACAAGACAGTTGGTAAGATTTTGTGGGAATAGGCCTTTATACTGCATCATGGAAGTTTTCTGTTGCTTTTCAAAGTGGGACCAAAATTACATGGACTTACTACTGTCCCCATAAATTTGGTCTAATGACAAATGTGACCCTACAACTACAGAGCAAGTATTTGTGTTGGAGGTGTGTGAATGCTTATGGAACTCATTTGCTTGTACTTAATACAAGCACCATACCCACAAAGTCACTCGAGCAGGTAAGCTGGAGTAAGACTCAACCCATGTTGATCTGCTCAGTACATGGCTCTGCCGATCTGCATTTCTGACCAAATTATTTTGTTGCTGAAGTTATTTTTGTGCACTGCAACACATGCAGACTTGTCCTTGACACTTGTCTTGCTGAGTGATGTATTGTGTGGGTGTGAAGGCCTTTAAAAGACAACGGTTTTTTTCATTTCTCTTGCCACTTTAATCTTGTTAATGTCTCTTTTGGACCTTTCTTGAACTTTTCTTCAATATTATAGGTTATACTTACTGAGGAAGGACTTGGATAACCCACACAAGGCCGAAGCATGGAAGGTTTACCGGGACACCTTTGCCGTGGATGTCACATTTGGCCCTGTTGCAGAGAGCGAGACATGATGATTCAGGAAATGGCACTGAGACATTCATTGATGGATCCGCATTGATGGATCCGATCATCGAAGTTGTGGGGGGGGGGGCCATAGCTCCTCCAAGGGGCTTTGGGGATATAAAGAGAGAAAATTTATTTTGGGGAAAAGTTAATTTTCCTCCCTTCCAACAGCACGTAAAAGCCCCAGAATTCAGCCACACTCCAAAAAAATCCCTCTCAAATATTTTGGGAATACATGTAGACCTGCCTTTGGAGACAGTCGTCATCATCTAAACTTCAAATGCAGCTGCACTTGTTTCAAATATTTTAACTGTTTGAAAACTGTTGTGTTACATTCTTTGGGTTTTTGACGTGCAAATGAAATTTCTCATTGTTTATACAACTGTAACTGGGTTGACATTGAAGGAATTCTTGCAATCATGATTTTATCATTTGGAAATTTAAATTTTGAATCATACACATGCAGTGCATGCAACAATTATTTTTTGTTCAGTCTCTTGAAGATATCTGGATGCATTCTGATCAGTATTAAAAACCTGTGAAACTTATTAATGCAAACATCTATTAACATAAATTTATGCACTATATTTTTCTTGCAAACCCTAAGTCCACTTAATGAGGTTTAAAAGAACAAAGTATATATTTTATTCTGGGTTTTGATATACAGATAACCATTTCTTAATATTTCTTGAATTATCATGTGAAACGGCATGAGAATGATATAGTTGTTTAAATTTTATTTCCATGACTTAACATATCAGTATGGAAAGTTTGCACATTTTGATGAAACTTGTATTAATAAAAACACTGTATAGACCAGTCTAATTCAATGAATAATTTAACAACGGTGTGCTTAGAAATTGTGCAAGCAACCAATTTCACATTTATGATAATACTGTCTTTCTCTCAACGAGTTAGTTTGTTGAAACTTTCTTTTCACTCTTATGTATAAGTTGTGTCACTTGTCACCAAATCAGATTAATTTGTCCTTAATCAAGTAAAATAAACTGACTGTACTTAAATGTTTTTATCTGTTGTTAGTCAAGTATGCACACATTCATGCCGAGCCAATAACTTTTTTTCTGGAGTTGTCGGCTGTGCAGAAGATATCACCGGTTCTTTTCAGAACCCCCCATACTCAAAAAAGAGATATCCACGGTGCTACCACAAACCTATAGTTTACAAAAGATACTTTGCAAATGTCCTGCAGTGTTTGATGGCGACCACTAAGTAACTTGTACCATGTGCTGGTTGATTTGTTTTGCAATTTTCACTAGTCATTGTGAAATTGAAATTGTCAAGACTGTGGAATATTTTTGAAAATAACATTAGATTTTCTTCCTTTTCCGGTAATTTGATGCCCAGCACCTGCTGGCCAGGGTGCAGTGGATTGTTGCGATAATGGGAGAGCAAAGTGGAATTTAAATGCCAGTATAAAAGGTAGTCGCCGTTAAGCTGCCAGGATTCCTGTCAAGTATGCGGCTCACTGGACCCTTTTTAATCTTGGGCCGTTTTCCAATACTAAACTTCGTCTCCGTCTCAGACTTCGTTCCAAAAACCAATCCCCGATTGTGGGCCTGAAGCGTTTGAATTACATTGGATTACTGTAATTTTTGGCTTTCTTGCGTCTTATTTGATGTTCAATCGCACTTTTAGACTGATTACTGCGCTTACAGCTTGAAAGTCAGCTAGTATAAAAACAGTTGAAGCCTGAGACGGAGCCGAAGTTGAGTATTGGAAAACGGCCTTAGTATCGTAATTTTGAAAATAAACAGCATAAATTTTGTACTATGAGTACATTTGTGTCCAACTTTGCATTTTCCATCGTGTATGTGGTGATAGTCAGCATACCTTTTACCCTTGTCGTTTTTTTTGCGTAAGAAAGCGTCTGGATATTGAATTTTGTCTTTTCAACCTCGTGTCCATTCGTCGGACCAATGAATTATTCTGTGACTGGAAGGCAACACCTTTGGGGGCAAGTTGTTTTATATTGCGTGATCTACACGGACCATCTTGTATTATGACACGAACCCCGCGAAACGTTCGGCTTCCGACCTGTTGGTTTGTCACTTTTTGATACTATTTGTGACACGTGGTTTAATACCTGTGAAATTCCCCCAGCTGTCACTATGAGTTTGTGGGTTGATAAGTACCGTCCGTCATCACTATCGAAACTTGACTTCCATAAAGAACAAGCTGCGAATCTCAGAAAATTGGTAAGATCGTCATGACCTGATGACTGTCAGTTCACTGTCAGACTAGTAGTAGTACTACTTTCTGAACAGAAAGGCACTACTCCGTAGGCCCCACTGGGTCCATCTTTTTGGTGGTTCCTAGGATTCAGGAAGGGCAAACGGAGGTTTGCACGATTGCAGGGCACATTTCAAAGTGCTATAGCGTTATGGAGCCATCAAAAAGATGGACTCATGGCCCAGTAAGGCTTACCATAGTGGTTTACAGAGTAGGCCTAGTGCCTTACTGTTCAGAAAGTTTGGTCAGACCCTCCGGTGTGCTGACATGCTTGACTGTCGGTGCGTAATGTTATATGGTGTAGGCCGAGGCCTACTCCCAGAAATGTGAGGCTCTAACAATTCTGGGAGTAGTGTAGGCCTATTCAGTTAATTATTGTAATTTTTTATGTAGGCGTAAGCTCACTGCTTTGTTTTGAACTTTGGCAATTGGCATGTGTCTGGCTACTTCAAGAACCCAAGTTACTACTCTGTCAATACTTTGTGTGACTTTGAGCCAATACCTACATGGTGTCGTAACGCTATGGGTCTTGGAATCGAACTTGATAGGTGAATGATTCACAGGTGTAACAATCACAACAAAGCTATTAAATCAACTTTCCCAACAGCAAACCTTAGTAATCTACAGCTCTTAAAAAGGGAATGAAGACGGTTTCAGAGCATGAGATGGGGTTTTATTGAAATAATGAAATTTTTGAGTACCAATCCTTTGCTTCCAACCGCCGACGATCGTTCTGTTCATGCCTCTTGTGTTTATCAGATTGCGCATGTGTCGAGCCCACCAATGACCGTGCTTTCTTTGCATCTTGGTTCGACCATTTTCAGTGGCGGAGGGGGAATTAAGTCTTGCAATCTGTCACAGCTACACAGCATAGGGCATGTCACCCATTGTGTCCTGATGGTGGTCAGGTAATGAAAACAAGTAAAGATATTAACCGTTGCCACCGAAAATGGTCGAACCAAGATGCAGAATAAGCGCAGTGATTGGTGAGCTCCATGTATGCGCAATCTGATAGACACAAGAGGCATGAGTGGAGCGATTGTCAGCGGGTGGAAGCGACAGAGTGGTGAGCAAATATCTCATTTTTTTCAAAAATACTCCATCTCATGCTTTTGCTATCAGGGGGAAATTTGATTTAATAGCTTTGTTACACCTGTGAATTATTAACCTATCAAGTTCGATTCCAGAAACCTGTAGCGTTACGACACCGTGTAAGCAACAGGCCTGGCAACTTGTCTTGGGAGCAGAGAGACTAAAGGACATGTAACTGTACCCCTGAGGATGCAGCAATTTGTTAAATTCCCTCCTGTGTTTTACAGGTTCAAGGTGGGGACTTTCCCCACTTGCTTATTTACGGCCCTTCTGGTGCTGGAAAGAAGACCAGAATAATGTGCACGCTCAGGGAGCTGTATGGCTCAGGAGTGGAAAAACTGCGAATAGAACACCAGAGTTTTACGGTAAGGGCATGCTAGAACTTTCAGGTGTTTGTCACTGTGCCACTCACCAATTCTTGTCTATTTTGGGGGAGAGGGGTTGTGTAAATGTATGCTACAGTACTGTTCAAGCCGTGTGCTATGTAGCTTCGCTTTGTTTTCCACCACTGAGATATTGGCATATGTACAGTATTTAGTAAAAATGTTGAATGGTCAGGTTAACTCAAGCCATGCCAAATCCAGCAAAAATGTGATTTACACTAACCTCAAGAGTTAGGGCCGTCAAAAGGAAATATGTCCATCTCATGAACAAACTTGAGAGTGTAGTCACAATTTATAAACATAGAAAAGTTTTAGTGTAATTTTTACACTCTTAATCAAGATAGATATGCTTATTCTCTGTCGTAACTTTTTCATTCACCAGACTCCATCCAAAAAGAAGATTGAGGTGTCGACCATAGCCAGTAATTACCACATAGAGGTGAACCCAAGGTAAGATAAGTTAACGAAACAAAATGGACCATGGTCTTTGTTCAATCTATGTCAGACTTGCCCGGGTTTGTTTCTACTTAAAAATGCACTCTAGCAAACTGGTGCAAGTAAAGAAAACCGGTTATCGGAGAATGCACCATTGTTAACTTTGCCAGACATTTGACTATTTTTTTTTTCCTTTTGGTGTTTGTCATTTCAGCGATGCTGGTATTTACGACCGGGTTGTCATCCAAGAACTTCTCAAGACAGTGGCACAGACACAGCAGCTGGACTCTTCTGCACAGAAAGACTTCAAAGGTAAACGGAGGAGGAAGCTTTCACAGCAGAACTCGTTATCATTTCACTTGCAGTCCCTCGTTAGGATATGCTTATGTATTGCAATCTACACTACAGTGATTATAACCTCCATTGGGCAAACATGGAAAGAATTTGAAAACCAAACTGTACATTTTGGAGCACTCCTACTCAGTGGAATGATGCGTGAACAAGATGATGGCATTTCATGGGATCATTTCAAAATCTCGATGCCATCTGTGAATGAGCCATTGATGTCCAATTCTGCATCTTACTGCTTCAAATTTCAAACATCAACTTCAAGTTTCTCTTACAAATTTCAGTTGTTCTACTGACGGAAGTGGACAGATTGACCAAAGATGCACAGCACGCTCTGAGGCGTACCATGGAGAAGTACTCGGCGACCTGCCGGCTCATTCTGTGTGCCAACTCCACGAGCAAAGTCATCCCGGCTATCCGCAGCCGTTGTCTTGGAATACGGGTACCAGCGCCCTCTATTGACGAGGTAAGTCCTTTTCAACCCTCGGCGTTTTGAAGAGGATATATCCAACAAGCCAGGTGGTCAAGACAATGCATTTCCTGCATTTGTAAGTGGGGAGGTCATGGGTTCGAATCCCACCTGAGCAAGTTCTTGAACTTGTTCTCACTGGTTCTTGGCTTGTACTGAATATGCAGTGCTAACCAAATAAGAGAAAAACCCAGCATTTCAAACCAGTTTTGTACCCTGTGTTGCATGTTGCTGTCTGAATAGTAAACCAAAGACATTTTGTCATGTTTTTGATCATGTGGATTCCGCAAGTTTCATACTTGTTTTGATTTTTTTTTTTTGTTGGAAGCTTGTAATGATTGCAAAGAATGAAGTGATCGGAAAAATCATCTCCAATTAAACCAAGTGTAGGTGTAATTTGAGGAACAAATGATTTTCATAATTTCGATTTTGTTGCACACCCCACTAGAAATTTCTGCAATCATTGCACATGATAATCAGATTTATTCAAGCCTGAGTTTGCATTGACACACTTTTTCCTTCAGATTTGTCAGATTCTTCAGGTTGTTTGTAAGAAGGAAGGTCTCTCTCTGCCCGCCCAGCTCAGCAAACGCATCGCTGAGAAATCTGACCGGAACCTGCGACGGGCATTGCTGATGTGCGAAGCCTGCAAAGTACAGCAGTAAGTAGAGTGTCAAATATGAATATTTCTTCAGTACATACATTGCCCCTATCCTCATTCACCCTCATATCACGTGGATTCAGATTTTGGACTTTCATCATTAGAGTTTGTGTTCCAGCAGGGAGTACCTAAACATTATTGGGCAGTCCCAGATGTGTTCTTACAAATAGGAGAGGGACCATCGCTGAGACCTCTCTTTCTCTGATTGCATGTGAATGCCATTCCTTAGACTTCTGTATCTTTTCCGTACTTGCTGATCTACTCAGCACACGATACCATCTGATCAGCTGACCAAACCCTTTAGCTGATGCCTGTTGTCCTTGTGAGCAAACATGTTTCCCTGTCTCAAGTTTATTGTTGTAGTTAACATACCAATTCCTTCTGTGTTTGTATATTGAGCCCAACGCATTGATTGCAGAGACACCGTCACACATTAATAGACTGCAGATGCTAACCTTGTTATTCAGTCGAGTGTACATAGAACCAGCAAACCAACATACCTTCCAGCATGAGGTATGGCGGTGCACATGTAGGCTAAACCACGTTTCAATGACTTGATTGCCACAAGTCCAGTTAAAACCGTGCGAATCCATTTCCCTGGATTTGCTTTTACTTGTGACCAACCATCCAGGAGAAACATCATAGAAATTCCTCGCGGACATTGTGACGAGAAACTTGAAATTTTTAGAATGCTGTGAGAAGACTCACTCAGAATGTGGTCGTTTGAAAATATATTTGGGTTTGTAACTGGCGCATTGCGATATACGTCTTGGGCTTCCCTGCCTGGTCAACGGTTAGAGGACAAAGACAAGCTCTTTATCAAGCAAAGTGACACTCTATCATTGATTATGATTCACAAATCATGTAAGTCAAAGTTGCTCATGATATTATAAAATGGATATTAAATTTCAGTTGCTTTTTCCTAGTGAATTTAGGGCTGTGTTTTTGGTCAACCCTTTAGCAATTGCGTACATACCCATGATTAAGTCACTCTCTTACCTGTAACACTCTTTTTTTTGTTAATTGAAGCCATATTATCCATCCTTCCATCCTTTCGCCTTTATTTGCTTTGTTTCATCATTAAATTTAACCTAAATTTTGCTCTTGATTTGATCAAATATTCGAGTTTTCACATTTGATTAAGCAATTAATTTGGCATTGTAGGGTGTCTTATAGTGTAACTAAATTAAGGCAACATGATATTTTTGTTTGAATAAGCAATAACTTTATTTTTAGCGTCTTATATATATAAAAGAGTCTCTTTTAAAAGTAATATTGTGGGTAGGACTCTTTGTGCAAATTCCATGACCACCACAAAACTGAGGTTTATGTGACATTGCTCTGAGGAGGAGCAAACTAAGATCAGGATGTAGCAGGTCTTTTTTTCAGTCATTGAATGTACCTACATGTAGTTTTCTATTTGTAGATCGAATGCATCATTTAACTGACCTTGTGGCTACACTCTTTATCAGCTGTATACGTTTTATTTATGATGTTGAGCTCATTGCGAGCAGCTTTTTAGCAGTTAACAAAACAAACAAGTGATGTTATGAAATCAAATGCCATCCCCCCCCCATAAACCCAAGGCAACTTAAACATGGCACACTTTCATATCCACTCATTCATAGATATCCCTTCAGCGAGACACAGGAGATACCGGTGCCAGACTGGGAAGTATTCCTGCGAGAGACGGCCAATGCCATCGTCAATGAACAGACCCCGCAGCGCCTCTTGGAGGTCAGGGGTCAGCTCTATGAACTCCTGACCCACTGCATTCCGCCGGATGTCATCATGAAGGTAAGTGTGGAGTTGTGGTTGCCTTGACTGAATTGGTGTCTGTCCACCACATCAACTTGCTCACAGGGGTGACCGATTTGTACACTTGGATTTGTACTCATCTGAAGTTAAGTTCTTCTGCATGAAATACATGAAAATGTATTGACGGGTTTCTGTCATTCAGCCTCCTATATTCAATTCAAGATAGTTTGTACCTTAAATGTCCTTAATAATGGACCACAAATTACTACAGGAACTCAAATAAGTGTGTGTTTTGGGGAGAGGGGTATGGCATATCAAGGGGATAGGGGAGGGAAATTGTTCAGGAAGTTGATAAATCTCGTCTGTGGTCTAAGCACAGCTGATCAACATGCTACAGTTTCCTTTCACGTGTTCTTGATAAAAAGAGCTGCAGATTTATTTCACTGTCAGCATCTTGTCTCTGGTTAATTTCTACTGCGTTTGTTTACAAGCTTCAAAGCATTTCTGTCAGGAATATTCTGGAATCTAACACTGAAATAAACCCAGTGGCATATCATTAGCACTAAGGTGTCTTTAAACTAATCCAAAGAGGCACCAAAACTGAGATGACACCGCCCTCACACGCATTGAGGAATTCCCAACACCTTACTGGTCCAAGAAGGATGTAGTGCACCCATACAACCTGTCCACAAGTATTGTGCCACCACAGTAATGCCTACATAGCAGCATGGTTGATCTTCGGTCACATCCCAATCTTATCTTAGGAGCTAGGTCTAGGCCTCCCCCAGCTGACAACAGAAAGCACTTCATAAAGCAACCTTTCACCCATAGTCTTAACATCAAGTGGCTCATAGGTTCTTTTTTCTTTCCTTCCCGTCTCCCCCGTCATCACTTCAGGGTCTCTTAAAGGAGCTGATCAGCAACTGTGATGGGCAGCTCAAGTCAGAGATCACCCAGGTGGCCGCCTTCTATGAGCATCGTCTGCAGCTGGGCTCCAAACCCATCTATCACCTGGAGGCCTTTGTGGTCAAGTTTATGAGCATCTACAAGCGCTTCTTGGAGGAAGGTTTTGACGACATGGCATTCTGAAAAGGCTGAGACAGGATCCGTGCCCCCAGACATCAAGTAATTGTAATTGTGGAATTTTGCACAGGAAAAGGATTTGTTTCGCAAAGTTCAGGTTAACCAGCCAAAATCCTATATACGTGTAGTATATTACAAAACGGACTGGTGGTCTACAGATTTTGACTCGGCATGTTAATTGCTAAGAAATATTTTCCACCTTACCAGCTCTTTGAAGTTGGACCCAGACTGTAAGAAGGCTTATCTGAGAAATGTGGGCAGCGCAAAACACTTTCTTGGCCAATAAGTTCAACCCTATTTCAGTTCATTTTGATGGAGACTTGGTATCATCATGACGCTTCTTAAATTTATGACTGAAAAGCATGCCAAGTTACAAATCACATGGCTAGATTGCTGGCCCCAAGAAGGAACTCTTATTATCTTATCTTATTCCTTTTGTTTCTCAAGTTTGTCATCCGGCAGCCTGTGTTACAGCAAAAAGCTTTTTTTTTTCTTGTTCTTTTTTCCCTGAATGTATCACAGTGAAATTGATAACAATGGCTTTTAATTGTAAGTCAAGGTAGCATTTGATCACCAGTTTTCACACTGGGAGTGTAAATGCAAACGTAACTGTACAGTTTACTTGCTTCATTAAATAAAGATATGAAGAATGTGCAGCCAAAGTGAAATAGTTCCACTGTGAAATCTTCAGCGTTCTTCCTGTGAAGCTTTCCCTTCGAACAGAGAGATGTTGTGTCTCTCGACCTTGTACTCTAACCTCTAATAGTCGCTGTATGTTTAGGCATCCAGTGGCAAGCTTACCGGTAGTTGTGTTATTAACATGCATTGTTGGCCAGCAGTGGTTACTCTTTTGTGCAGATGCCCCTTTGAATTTCCAGCTTTCTAAGACTGGAAGTCTGTTGGGGATTCTATTGGGCCAAACAGATTAAGGGTTAAACACTTCCTGCCGGGTGGAATTTGAATGTGCGGGATGAGTTCCCCGGGCAATTTTCAAGATTTCCTGTTTTCAAAATTCTTCAAGAATTCATAACTTTATGTACTGGACGTTTACATCCACATAAATGACTGTCTGGTGGCTACAGGTAACCTCCATTGACGCCCGAGTATTACAGCCAGGCCTGCCGCCCAGTAAAAAGCGCCCAGATTGTGTGGTGTTGCATAATTTCCTTTTAAGTTTCCGAAATTGGCCCAGTGCATTGCTGAATGGCAGTTGCGTCTTTTCAAATGTTGCCGGATTAGCGTACAGCAGTACTGTATCGCTCATTGCTGGAGCACTTTTGTCTGCACTGATAATCCATGGGTGCTGAGTGCCGCAAACAGTTGTATACTGTTTCAAAGTAATGACGGATTACCTCTGCTAATGCCAGCTGAAAAATGATGGTAATTCCCAGCAGTGGGTCTTTTGTTTCAAGTACCCGTTTTTGTTACAAGGCCAAGCTCCTTTGTCCGATTTTGGGCAGCCCGGCTATGTGTACAAACCCAAGGAGTCCGGTACCAGAACCCCCGGCACCGAGTGGTTAAAAGTAAGCAAACTAACATGCACATTCCAACACCCACTGTCCCAACAACACGTACAGAACACAAGGCCAACTCACAATCAAGTCTATCAACGGTTCACTTTTATTGACAAATTTTTATCCAACATCCATCTTTGAATAAATTCTGAATACCCCAGCTTTCTGTATCACCAAAACAGCACCTTGTCTTTTAGAACTTGGCTATTTACAATGAAAAGAAAAAAGAAAAGTGGTTTAAAATATATATGTCCGGTATATATAGTCTTGAGATCTTCTTTGGAAATTGTTACTCATATGTACATCACTGAAGAGTGCTTGGTATTTTCATCAAAACTCACTCAGGCAATGATCCATTGTCATTGCCAAATTATGCATATTCCTTGCCGTCATAGTCTTACATATACATATCAGCAGATTTCTCATGTGCATACATATGAACAATTGAATCATCTTTTTTTTCTCTCTCCCTTTTTTCCCATCTTTAATACAAAAAAGTTCATACTATCCTTCCTTTAATCTCGTTCTCAGCATATATCCCCTGACACTTCTAGGTAAACCTTGAAATGAAGGGATTTGAAAGTGCACACTGGGAATCGTGCAAAGGCAGACCTTCACAGAAGAACAATGAAACCTACAGTAATAGTGTTTCATTACGCTCCATGCTGATTGGGCAAATATTAAGAAGAAACAAGCTGCAATTATTAAATGTCCCAGTATAAACTGTCTGGTAGCCATCATGAAAATGACAGTCAGGAAAGATTATCATGTTGGAATAATTTGTCATTGATTATCCAACTCATCACGCATCTTTACACTCACTTAAAGGATTTCTGCTAAGCGGTACATTCATCATTATTCAGACACACAAAAAAATTAAGACTTAAACTGTGGAACCAGAAAACCAGAACCACCAAGAAAAACAGAACAAAACAGGTGTCTTGTGCAACAGGTTCACACAGCATTTTAGACACATTCAGAAGGACGGCCGCACAGTAAATAAAATAAAATGAATTGCTACCACTGACCATGTTCCCTTCATTCATACATTCTAATCACAGCTTTAAATAAAAAAACTTTCTGCCAGGTATTATTTTTGTACACAAAAATGGGTATTTTCCTAATATGTATTTGTAAGCCCTTTTGCAGTCGATTCATTCAGCCACACACTAGTTAAACCATGGAGAAAGGACACTGAAGGAGTTACAACTCTGGCGCATCAAAGTGCTCGATCATTGCCTCCCGGTGAGACGAACAAAAGTAAACATTCCAAAAATGCCTGATTACTGCCAGCAGCTTAGCGGGACAAGCGGGGCCAGTAATATCCTAGCAATATTTGTGGTGTTTTCTGTGCCATTAAATACAACTTTCCCCAGTGACCAGGAAACGAAAAGAAAAAATATATTACATTCGATTTACTTTTGCCGTTGTGAAGAATTTTTTACAAATTTTGATGCCCTCTTCAATTGTCTATGTTTGTAATTTTATTTTTTCACTCAAAAACATCAGTTTTCAAAGTCTTTGTACGAGTTTGGCTAAGACTGGCCAACATGTTTACCACCACAGGAAAGTTAAGTTCACGGAAAACAAAAAGCCCTATGTCATCACAAGGAGTGATCATGAGGTCTCATAAAATACCTTTTTGTATAAATCCCGTAATAAAAATGATTCAAATAAAACACAGAATCTTATAAACAATTTGGCTAGTCATTCCCAAAACTGCAGAAGAAAGCGTTCAATACCGGCAATGACTATGCATGAACCCTAAGGGCACACAGCCTAATACAAGCAACTGCGCAATCATTAAATTTGATGTTTTCAGGTCATACCAAGCACCATCGATGGCATGAATATTCAACTTCCTATACTGCAGTACACAATGTTTTAAGATGCAGATTATCAACGAAAAATTGCGGCGATGATCATAGAGTACAAAAGGGCTTATGGTTGTGAAACAGGTGGTGCATAGCAAGCATTCGCTGGGCTCTGGATATGGACATATCGGGCATGCCAGAAAGGGGTAATTTGCCAGATGTTATAGCCCGAGCAGTTCAAACTCCTTCTGCGTCCTTCCTCCATGGTTAAACCCTCAACTGACCGGACAGCATGCAAGAACCTTTGGTACACATCTCACAACTGCCATATTGGGGGGGGGGTCCTACAGAATTTCAATTCATGATCAACTTATCGAGAAGGACTCTTGTCGCATGAAAGACGACATGTTTGGTGTGTATTGTGGACTCAGTTCTGGAACAGAAGATGGTTGCTATGTGACCTCACACATGACACTGCATGCTAATTCCTTTTCGTCCAAATGCACACAAATTCCTGTCTCATGCAACTGCATGGTATTTACATCATCGAATGTGGCTAAATTGTAAGTTGGTGCATTGTTACGAACACAGCGACGAAGTTTTAATGACTCACTGTAAATCTTGAAAAGGTACTAATAAAATACAATTGTTCAAATAAAGAGTAATTTGAAACTAAACCCCGTTTCTTTTTCAATCTGTGGCCAGATTATTGCAAGTTTTACAGGCTTGCCATGAACGATTCATGAAGTGGCCCTTGAATATCAAAGATTTTCTCTGACAAGTAATGAAAGCCATAATACTGACGACACATCGCACTGGCTTCATACTAATATACGTCAAAGAAGGAATGTAAGTTGAAAATAAGCTGACTAGATATCTTAAAAATGTAACAACACTGAGCTTGGGCATTCGAATTGGGGCAGTACACAAGAAATTAAAAAAAAAACCTTGTTTAAATCAACCAAATCAAGGCCACCAAATTTTTGTTTCAAACTTACTGAAACCAGTTACACTGGCCTACTCTATGTTGTATTTTTCAAAAAAAGATGTTCGCAGTTTCAAAGAAGATTAACTTGATAACTTTTTACGAAGGCACTTTGGCCACCTGTTGGCCAAGAAAATAGAGCACACTCTTGAAATAGAAATCCTTTGGATAGGTTTACAATTACATGAAAATGTCTAGCACCGGCAAAAACCCTGTTCAGAAAATCAGTATGAATATAGAAAAAGCATTGAGGCAATTGAAAGCTTTCATTGTTGAAAACTTGTGTGCTTTTTTTAACATGAACACTAAAGACCCCACTGGTATAAAGTGCAGACATTTATGACCCAACACATGGTCTATTTCTTGTATGAAATGCTTGCTATGTCCATGCTAAAACCATCCATGCAATGAAGTTTTCTGCGACACACTTTCTGTGCAACTGAATTTTTTTTAAAGTATGAAAACAATTTGACATCCTTTTTGGGAGTAAGTGTATTCAAAATGTGCATGTTTTTAATTCACTTGACACTGCGCATTCATTTCTGGACAACAGAGAGTGCTGTTGGTGTCATGTCAAACCAGGGAAGACATTGCTCATTTGAAAGGTTCTTATAGGTTTATTGCCATGTACTCGAACACCAATGCCTCACCGATTTCAAACACCCCCCCTTTCCAAATTCAAGCATATTGTTTTTGTTTGAACAAATTAATGCAACATAAAGGTTTTCTGTCCAGGATGACATCACAGTTGTGCTCATGAATATGGACATTGCATAAGCATATACATCCCAAATGCACCAAAATACTTTTAAAAATGTAGCAAACAAAACTAGCAAATAAGCTTAATTGAAAAACACAGGTGCCTTGTTACGGATCACAGAAAAAAACAAACAAACATACTGCACTGCATGGACACCTTAGACAGACATTCCAGAATTTGCCCACCACACATATGTATCCATTCCAGACTTAAGGGATGGTGACTTCCACGCACAAACTGCAGGGTCATTTGGATCCAAAGTTGATCTTGCTAAATTAAAGTAACCAGGAAAAAATGCCGACATGTAAAGGAACCAGTCTGACACAATTCACTTTCACCAGCTATGACCCTTCCTTTCCTGATGTAACAGATGTACAGTGCATGCGGGACTGTTTAGTGCTTTGGGTTGTAAATATGGAGTGCAAATGCACTCTCCTGAATAGTATCTCTCACTGAGGATCTTACAACAGACAGCACAGCTCTCTCATCGGGGTGGTGCACCTGAATACTCCTTTCTTGAGCAATTAGAAAAAGACATCTACATAGTCTGGATATGTGTCTTGGCTTTGCATACAGTACAAAAAGTGCAACAAGTTTTTTTGAGATTAAACGTATGAAAAAGATTACAGGCCGAACTACTGACAGTAGTTAAGCACCTATGAAAGCTGATGTCTTAGTATTTCCAATCAACCTGTTCACATTGTTTAGTTAAGTGTTAGGATTGTTTTTTGAAGAGTTCTGAAAAACTCTTGTCACTGTCCGGTTTGTGTACGTGGAGGCATTGTCAACTGTTGCATGAGTCCCATGGATGACGGATCCATGACTGGAGACAGGGCTTGAATCTGGTAGGGGTAGTCTGCATTAGACACCGAATCAGTGCCAGCAGATCCGGCTTGCGACAGGGTGTTAGGGGAGCTCTGGTTATGCGACGACGGGGACACTGGCGACAGACGGGGGCCGGCTTGTAAGGTTGCAGGGGAGGCTAGCCGGGAGGAGTCAAGGTTGCCTGTCGGGCCCGGGCCCAGGCCTGAGCTCATCCGGGCCATGCTCAGGCTGGGCGTGGTGATGGCCGGTGCAGTGAGGCGGGGCGTACTGAAACCAGAGGGCGACGAGGAATCCGGGTGAACCATGGGGAGCACTGCAGAAGGCTGTGCTTGTCCTGCTGCCAGAAAGCCCAGCGAGGAGGAGGGCATCATCTGCCCGGACTGGAATAGGAGCTGGCTCTGCAGATGTTGCTGTTCCTGGTGCCGCTGTCTTAGTTTCTGTTCTTGGTCATGCTGTTGTTGCTGATGCTGTTGCTGCTGATTTTGTAAAATCAATATTAATATCAGAAATTCATATCTGTCTTACCATTTTGTTCATTTTTAGTTTATTTTGAAAAACACTTCAGGCCACATCTATGTGCTTTGTACTGCGCAGTGAGGCACAGAATGTAACAGTGCCCATGGAATGGAACCTCAGTGGTTCTACATGCCTACATAATGATAGTGATTGCTTAGTATAAGGGTTGGTGTCCACAAACTATGATTCAAAATTTCACAAGACAGGGAAAGTGTTTAAAAGCAGTGAGTAGTTTTATCATTTCTTTAAAATCAACCACGGGGCATGCTCATAACAAAAATGGGTAACCTGTCTGAGATGAATCTGTTTTAAAAAATGCCCCATATTTTAAAGAAATGTAGCTTCTCAGAAAAGTTTTATACAATGCTTCAACTACTTGTTACCAACTGAAAGTAAAAAACTCACAGAGCCCTCCAACATCTGGGGGAAGAAAGATACCGTGTACTGCGCTCCCATTGCTTGCATTGATGAGTGTGCTGAAACCGATGGGTCTGCTGCCAGACCAGAACTCTCTGGCACCAAGGTGCTGCTCGTACTCGGCATGCTCGGCTGGGCTTGAGATGCTGTAAAGAAATTGACCTTCAAACTTCAGAGGCAAAGCAGAGAAGACACTACCGAAAGGGTCGGTTGACATCGTGAAATACCGGCAACCAAAAGCATGTACATATTCACCAGCAGCACGTTTGAAAGCAGGTTAAGGAGCATGACCAGCCAAAATAAACAAAAACACAATGTTGCTAATGTCCAACTCTAAATAGTCTTGCAAGAAGTGGGTGCACTGTTGTTGATTGCAGCAATAGACGAATGACAGTGATGCATAGAGCAATTAATGCATGTATGTCTTATGGCAAGGTACATGTAGGATATCCGCAGGACCAATACTACACGCCAACTGCGAGACTTTGGACAAATTCTAAAGTGAATTTTTTGGGGGGAACCACCTCAAATTTCCATCAATGTCTGACGATAAACCAGACCCTGCAAATCTAGGGTACCTACTACATGTAACATTCCTCCCGGTACCAAATAATGAACACACACCCATGCCGTGACTGGGCTCTTAAGTGCTGCAGCTGGAAGCATGCCAAATAGTGCAGTGTGCTTGCTTCTTATACCTCTTCTCATTGCGACAACTCTTAAAGCCATTGGGGCTCACATCCATGTACATGTAGTGTGCATTTTTCTGTACTTACTAGAGTGGACTGGCATCAGTAGTCTTTACAGAATGATCTCATCATTGACCCTTTTTGAGTGCCAGGCTTTCAATGGGCTGAAGTTGCGCGAGGTTTAGATAAGATGACTACTGTTTCTTTTGCATTTTTTTTTTATTTTTCTGATTTTCTTTCCTGGTCCCAGGTTTAACACGATGAAAACTTGCAAGTAGATAGAAGGGTCTGTGCATCCAAAGGGTGTTGACAGTATCTACATGTAAATCTGTGCATCCAAAATTCTGTACACAACCCAGGTAGTGAAGAAGTTGTGTAGACCTGGTATATGTCTTCCTTGCTAAAACACAGGTTAGAGTCATTTGAGGGTTACACTTACATGTGTCTGTGATGAAAGAGAGAGGTACCACTTTTATGTATATTTTTGTTTTTTACAGCATTATCTGCCTAGCCAGACCCTTTGTGATTTTTCATTGTCACAGAATCTTAATAACAAACTGTCCTCAGAGAGCGTGTGCCTTGCATGCTCTGTTACTAGGCTGTAGGCATGTGATACCAACGTCAAAACTGTAAGGCCTCTGTGCTTATTAAATATACTGTACATAGGGTTAATGCCACGGGTGAACTAACTTATATAATACGGTATATTTGCTTTACTGTGCTTCACTAAAAGCAAGCGGTGCAGCTGGTAGTAGACATTGACAGGCTGATCAGTTGGCATGCCACGAACCTGCCTCCATGGCCTGGTGACTCAGTATTTGGTCAACGAGGCTTTCATCCATGGTGACATTTGTGTCAGCTTGCAAAACATCTATTCATGGCAATAAAGTGTCAGTGTAAAATACAGTGGAGGAAAGAATAAAACCGGCTGTGACAATTTGAGGCTGCGTCCGAATCTCTTGTCTAGAGCTAGGTCTAGGTCTTTGCTCCTTTGGAAATGCATGGAGACGCGTAGACGATAGACCTAGCCGTAGCTCTGGAAGCCCGTTTCGGACACGGCCTAAGCACACAGAGCTGTCTTTCCACTTGGAAGTAACCACAGAATTGATCAACTCCTACAGAGCAATACTGTAGCAGAGCCGTTTCAAACTTGTGTCAACATTTCCAGTTTTTTACTGAGGGGGGCTGTACAAATATAAAAGGGATATATCCACATGTGTATACACATATCCCTGACACAATTTGACCCTTGAGTAATAAGGCAAAGGTTGAGAGGTCACGACTTAAAGATTGGACTGCAACAAAGTAGCTACTTCCACTTCTGTGTCAGTTTAGGAGTCTCCTCTGAAACTGTCTTGTAATTTTTCACCAGCTTATGCTAGCCTCAAAACACCTTTTCATTTCATACTCCCCGTGAATGTACAATTCCTCTGGCTTCATCTCTGAGACACTCGGGTTTTTTTCCTCCCAAATCTGGGGCTTCATTTCCATCTTCTGCTTTATCTCGTGATCACAGCAAATTTCAGAGATTTACCAAGAGAAACAGGTGAAGATACTCCAAAGCCTTGACTTCACGATAGAAATTAAAGTTACGTTACATATTCGCAGAAGGTAACTTTCATGAAATGTATCACAATCTACTGCACAGTAGTACAGCTTGTCCAATCAAGAATGGCGCAAGTGACGTTACACCACTGCAACGTTTCCATGCAGTTGGCCACAACTTTGCAGGAGGCACTCACCTGGTTGCGTAGTGGGCACCATTAGCCCCTGCAGGAAGGGGTTGCTGTGGATTAGGAACTGCTGCGCCACTAGCAGCTGTTGCTGCACGGCCTGTAGCTCCTTCTGCTGCTGCACTATGGCCTCTTGCAGCTTCTGGTGCCGCTGCACCAGCTGTTCCTGCAGCTTGATCTGCACCATGACCAGCTCTGGTGCCAGTGTGCTCTGCTGCAAGATTGTTCGTGGAGGGAGAGAGCAAATATCACAGTGCCGTTAGAGCTGTGTCAATATTCAAATATATACTTTTTTTTCAAAATCGAATACTTGCAGGTGAAAATAATGAAATGACAAAGGAAAAATTAAATAAGATGATTACAACATTACCTTCTAAATGTTTATTTTGACATGCTAAAAGTAAAGTTAAAGCAGACCCCCCAACCCTCCCGGTTTTGGCAGAATTTCTGCTTTTTCATTTCATCTCCGCTATTTCGATTTCACCCCTAAAATTTCTGCCAAATCGCAAGTTTGACATGCCTATCATTTACCAGAAAACACCCACGTAATCTTGTGCATGTGCTGTACCACGTCCGTGGCAGTGCCCTCTTGACGTGTACTTGCTGTGAGCTGGACGTAATCACATGATAAAATGCCCTCTACCGACAAGCTGCATTGTTACTAACACTGTATATGTCGCGCCAAGCGGCGCCAGGTTTCGCTACTGACAGCTGAGAACGTTTGGGAACCAAGTAGAGAGTCCGTGACAAGACTACATCCTGCTGTGAAATCGACCACGATCATGTCAAGGGTGCAAGCACCATGCGGTGAGTTTTGATATCACACTATACATGAAAAAAATGGCATCAACAAAGAAAGTATAGAATACCCGTATATGCCATTATTTCACATTGACTGGTGTTACACGTAATATTATGAATTTTCTGCACTGTTCTGTCTACCTACCTGCACTTGGAGGTTCTGATTGTAGTCACTAGCTACTTGTGCACTGACATTGGAAGGCGAGCTAGGCAGCACCTCTTGGTCTGAATACAGGTGGCTGCTGTTGTCTGTGAGAGATCAAATTGTTGGGAAGACAAAAAATCCTGAATCAATGAAACCAGCATCCTTCCTAAAGGTACATGTAGTGACAGTATTGCTTCTGCTCAAATGTTGTGAAACTAATTCTCATGTATTGCAAATACGAGTCTGGGTTTCAATGACTGAGAAAGAGAGTCATAATTACTGAAACGTAGATTTTGACTGAGTGATTCCACAAGCGCTTTCCTTAACCACTTGCTGAAACTATTATCCCACAGATTACTTTATTACAGCCAAAAATCCTAATGATGAGTAGGTCTGTTACAAAGTAGGTCTGTTACAAAGTAGGTCTGTTACAAAGTAGGTCTGTTACAATCACTGTACTGCTGAAAAAAATCACTGTACTGCTGAAAAACCCATAACTGTGGTTTAGAGATCGACGGAGCTATTTTTGTTACAAATTAAAGGTAACACATCATAGAAAACATCATGTAACACATCATTTAATAAAAAATGGTGGGAGCGATTCCCCTCTAACGTTTAGAAAAATGTGCTGCTTCCTATGTACGAAAAAAAGAGCCATTTTGGGCAAATGGCCTGCCAAGATTGATTTGTTACTCAAGTGTTCTTTATATTTGAAGGGGTACCTGGGTACCCTTACAACACTATAACTTTTTTGAAACACCAAGACACTTTCACAGGGGTAATATCCTCGACAGAGTAGTTCATAACCAGTGTGAGCATACAAACTCAATACTTGTATTGCTCCCTCACACAATGCCTGTCTACTGTCAAGCAGCAACCAACCTGTGCAGGTACTCTTCTGACTACTGACACTGCACAGGAGTGGCGGGGGGACGTAGTGGGGCCGTGGAGGGGTCGGCTGAGGGGGTTTCAAGCTTGGCGTGTTGGGCTGGACGGATGGGCCAGTTGGCTGTATGGGCGGACGAATGGATGCCATACTCCCTACTGTCAAAAAGATGGAAAGAGGACCACATGGCAAGATTAGTTGAATCAATACGGGCGTTTCACAATAGTGCGCCTCAAAGAGCTTGCAACGTGTTGGCCAATCATAATGTGCGAAATCTGTCGATCCAATGCACGTTTGGAAACACGTTGTGATTGGTGTTAAAAACTCTTGGAGGCGCACTATTGTGAATCACCCGTATTGCTTAAGGATAGTTACTACATGAGAAGCAAAGAAGGCAATAGCTGAGGTCAGAAAGTGATGGGCTTGAAAGAACTCTATATGAGAACTAGTCTTGACAGAATAATGCAAGATATGATATCTTGATTGAGTGCTTGGAGAAGACAGAATGTTTGCATCACACTGGATTGGGGAGCCAGGTTTGCACAGTGGACCTTTCCTCACCTTTCACCTCTGTGACCCAGGTTTGAATCCAGCCAAGTCCACTGATTGAGTGGGATCTCAGTCCCCGTTTGATTCCATGGGCTTTACACAGAATATTCTTCTGGGGTTTTCTTCCCACTTCTAAAACTGTAACTGCTTCTCATTGGCTCCTCTCTACAGCTTTCTTCAATGTTATGAACTACAGTGCAAAGAGCACTCCTGAGGAATCCTTGGTTTCATTACCAGAAAAGCTTCATGGAAGAATTCATATTTGAGTATCACTTCAACTCTTGGTTCCTTCCTGACAATGTCAAAGTCCAGATCCTACACCTCAGTTGCAAACACTCTTACCGCCGTGAAATGACTCAACCAGTGTCTTGGATTTCTTGTGCTTCTTGAGGTAGTGGTCACCGTCTATGGAAGATACCGGTGAGGTGGATGCTGACATGTCCGACGTGCTGGTGTGTGAATCCATAGCAGCGCCGCTGTCAGATTTATCCGCCGCTATCCGCGAGTCTTCCGTCAGATTCAGGGATTGGTTCACATCATTACGAACCTCGGCGTAGCTGGGAAAGATTAAGTACAAAGGATGCCGGTGTTAATCTTTCTTCGTCCGCACGTCTTTCACAGTGCGATTTGTTGATCAGTGTTCCTTTTACAGCCATTTTAACTGGAAGTTTTCTCTTCTTTCTTTTATCACACTTATGATTCTAGGATTTTTTTCCATTCAAATGCTTACAGCAGCAACATCTACAAATTTTAAACTTTGTTTTATCTACTTATACAATTACATTTTTCCACTCTGATTTAAAGACTTTTATTACTGTTATTTGTTTTCATTCCTTCAGAAACTGCTTAATCATAACCTGCCACCAATTTTCACACTGACAAAAATTCCATGGAAGCACATTCTGCTGGTGTGCGCAATGAACACAGGAAAAGTTTCCTATTTAGCTGATTACAAGTAAAGCTGGTGAAAAAATAACACAAAACATGTAAGAAAAGCACGTGAGACAAGATACCCACTTGACGACTTTGTGCATGCAGACGATGAATTCCGGTTTGGAGTTCCACTGATTGTAAGTGATGTAGTTGCGAGTCTGCAACCATATCCACTCCTGTCCCTTCGTCAGGAACCTGTAGTAGCACGATATGCCTTCGCTGGTCTGTATTACTAGGAGGAGTCAAGGAAATAGCAACAGTGCACATTTTATTGAGTGCACATTTTATTGAGTGCACAAAATGTCTCTAAATAAAATGGATGTCGCTCATAAATTTGATAAGCACATCCACAGACCAATTCTCTAAAACCCACATGCTGCTTTTTTATTCCTCCTGGAAAGGAAATCAATTGATAATTTTTCATCAAGAACAATTGTTCACATCCGTAGCTTCTTTGAAAATCGGGGTTTGGGGGCAAAAAACACAGAAATGAAGCTTTGTGATGGGGCAATTAACTTGGGAATTCTCTCAAGAGGAGAAAGTCATATAGCAATCCAGGCTCTAGAGCTTGACTGTGCAAGTGCACTAACAAAATACAGACACTAATATCAGCAGACATCACAACTCTAACACAGCCACTTTCCGGTGATGGAAATCCTGTCAGAGCTAAAACAAAATTCCAGGCCATCTCTCCTCTGTCTCCGAGACACTAACTGTCGACTGCATGCCACTCCCACAGAACTGGATGTCAAATTTGGTTAACGTACTTGGACAAACTGCACTCGAGCAGCTTTGCTCACTCGGGTTTTAAACCACTCCACAAAAGCCCGTCTTGACATGAGACTTGCTGGCACGCAGACTTGGTAGTTCACGTGCAACGGCGGTCACGTTGTGGCATCTCCCTGGCAACACCATCTGCACTGCCACTTGAACCATGCACCATTGATTATTAATGCACCACATCTCCTTAGCATTTAAATGGGTTTTTTTCCTTGGCACCGTGTAGATGAGGTTGTATCTCCCACGGGAAACTGCCACAGATTACTTCAAGAGCAATTGCTTCCATGCAACCACAGCAAGCAAAGGATGTGGGGGCAAGCTATGAAGTAATGAATATTTCTCCAATAAAATGACAAACAGCTCAGAAACAGGTGATCAAACTGATAAGTTAAAGATACATGTAATATAAACCATATTGATGAACAAAGAAATGGGAATTTATACCACCATTTTTTTTTCGAAGGATGTCTTTGATTTACAAGCTGTTGTGTGTTTCATAAGAGACAGCTTACTTGGTTGCTATACCAACATAGTAGTATGGAAGACTACTTGCCATGCAACCAGTTTTGTCTGCCAGAGAATCCCAATAAAGCAGTAATTGGGGTTTTTTAATTTTTTGGTTTAGCCTTAACTTCTCCTCTGGTTGTTCACGGATTCAGTGCTGTCTACCAAGCATTCTCTTAAACAATGCCCTCATTTGAAAGATTCTGTCTAACCTTGTCCGACAAAAACTGAAAGCAAAACACATCAAAACAAATGCCATGAACAAATCATAAGAAATTGTTTTCCATTAATTAGTTATATAAGACTGAGCAAGACAACTGGGTCATATACCAGGTACTTACATGCTTCGTGGCAATGTGCGACTTTTTCTAAATCATCTTGGTGGTAGTAATCATACACAGACGTTCCCAAGACTTCAAAAGGAAGGTAACCGATTATTGGAGGGCCTCTGAACAAAGCAAAAGGAAAATCAATGCCAGGAACAAAAGAAATACATTCAGTTATCATATACAAAAAATTGACAAAACAACCACGAGCAAAAATAATTATCTCCATCAAGAACATTCCCTACATTTTCCATGTATCACCCTCGGATTTTGTGGGTATTGCGAAATTAATCAAAACTGATTTTTGACGAGTTCATAAAACTAATACAAACTGTAACATAGTGGTGAAACCACAACCAAGCTGGTAATTTGATGGTCAGTGTGTGATGGTACATCACCTGAATAAAGCCTCAATATCTCATGTAGATGAAAGATCAGATAATGGCCGAAAGGTCATTGTTCTCATGAACTCTGGCACAGGCCAACTTAATTTGAATATTCACATGTAAATAAATCGGCTGGTTAAGGGTGTACTTCAGCACTACACCATTTTGAAAGTGGGCACAGGAAACCAGAATAAATTCAGCTTTGGCGTCCAACATATGCAAACACAAACAATGAACGAAATACATGTGATATGAGGAATGGTCTCCAATCTGCGCATGTACATGTATATTACCTGTGGTCAAGAAAGAGGAACTTCCAATCCAGGCTATGTCTGGACATAAACTTGTTCTGCTGCTCACTAAAGGTGGCCATCTCGCGACTTAGTTGGGTCGTCTGAAGGCGGACAGTGGCTACGAAGCAGTACCGTGCCATTCCCATGTCAAGGGGAAGCACACCTTCAAAAAAGATGCACAAAAATTTCTCAGCGCCAACTCATTTTCCTAAAATGTGCTATGCTTGGATTTAGCTAGCATTTGGAAATGAGGAGCCATTTCTTTAAGTAAAAGAAGGCAACAATGCTGCTATGGCAATATGCCTTTACATAAATTTGTGTTGCAGAACGAGGTGTCCAAGATGATCCACGGGGAGCCCCTAGCTAAAACATTGTTTTGCTGTATCTTGCAACACATTATGCTATTGTCATTACAGAGAACAAGTTGAAAGTTAACTTATTTTCAGCATTTTTGGCTCAAAATAGAGAGCAAAATTGTGTTGCACAATGAAGATGTTTTAAAACTGATCAGTTTTCAAAGATAAACTTGAGGTCTTTGTGCAACAGAACAGAGGGCTTTTTCAGTCAATTCAAGCCATTTCCTATCAGATAAACAATACAATTTCAAGCTCTGTCTCTTCAGTATTGCATCGTTATGTATCCTGGTAAATTTATCACGGGTTTGCCCTTAGTCCGACATGTGCATTTTATTAACATTGTAAACATTCATGTTTGTGAGACAATCTCACACTTACATGTATGAGGGTGGGACTGTAACCATGGAGGACGGAAACCTACATGCTCATTATTACGTGCAGATATCTTGGATCAACTGGCCGGTGGGAAGTACGGCAATCTTATGCAGTTTATTTTATGCATATGACGTTGGGTCACAGTTGTGATAGTTATTAATTACAGTCATAAAAATAATCATCTATATTCTGCATATGAATAGCAATTTACATTTTAATTCATTTGTCAAGATTCGCAGAGAGGTGTCTGTTATTCTTACAAACTAACATAAACTTAGTGTTTTGTAATGCAAAAACTTGAGGTTTGACAGTTGTAAAAACAACCATGGGCTGTTTGGGAATTTTTGAGAAAGTAAACTATGAAAATATCAGATTAAAAAGAAAACAATGACACTTCATTTATGTTACATAATTTAGTCTGATTGACCAGAATGCCTAAGAGTGGCTGTTGAAAAACGTGTACAAAACCTATAGGGCAAAATTAAATATTCTAAAATCAGTAACGAATTAGGTGATGACGTCATCATGATGCAATAAATTAAGCAACATATTTTTATCAGGGTCTTTGTTTTCTGTAACTTTGATGATCAAGCATCTCAAAGTTATCAAAACGGTGGCTTGAAAATATGAACAAAGTCAAGTGAACAAAATACCTATTGAAAAATCAGTAATAAATCAGTTGATGACGTCAACATGTCATTATTTCAGCGTAATACATGTACACTGATGGGGGTCTTTGCTTGGTATAACTTTGATGATGTTTAAAGTTAGCGCAAAGACCAACATGGTGCCTTCAAAACGTGTACAAAGTATATGGGACCAAAAAAATTGAGAACCTCTATATTAAATCACATGATGAAGTCATCATGACGTCAGTACTTTGATACACCGGTACTCTTTTGATAAGGGCTGTTACTAGATGATACTTTGGTGACAATTTAATTTTGCAAAATTGCCCAAAAAGTGCTTTGAAAATGTGTACAAAGTCAATGGGACGAAATAAATGTTGAAAAATCAATAATAAATCATGTGATGTCATTGTGACTTCATGTTTCTAGGACTATCTATTATGTCTATGCATAAGGGCCCTTCATTGGTAAGATCCAAAGTTGCTTAGGCACCAAAGTCGAGGGTGGAAGAAACATGCCCAAATTGAATGGGATTTTGGGAGAAGAGAAAGAAGACGACGGGGGGAAAAAAAAATCAGACCAAAAGACTGCCAAAAATGTTGAATCTTATGGTTCAATCATCAAGAAACCATGGATCCATTGGGATTTCCAAACTTCTGATGGAATGCAGTTGAGTAAATGGTATGGTTTAAGAAAAATTTCTCCTGGACCAGTATTTGTCTTGGGGGTACATATTCCCCCCCCCCACCCGCCTGACAAATGCCCACGCTCTATCCTACCCCAGCACCCTCTATTTGTAATCTCTGTTGAGTTAAATACGTAGCTATGCAGCTTCAGTTTTTTTTTCTCTTGTACCCCTTGAAAAATATGTGTGCACCTGGCTGCCCCCCCCCCATCCGGACACGTAGCCCTAATTACGCCACTGTTTCAGGTCCTTCTGACAAACCATGCATGGTCGTGAACACACGCATATAGGTAAAAATAGCAAACCACACATGCAAAACTCAGCAGAATAGGCTTTCCAAATTTGGATAATTAGAAATGACAAAAAAAATCTAATCGCCAAGGAGCGATTAGTATGCAGCTTCAGCTTTTTTTTCTCTTGTACCCCTTGAAAAATATGTGTGCACCTGGGTGCCCCCCCCCATCCGGACACGTAGCCCTAATTACGCCACTGTTTCAGGTCCTTCTGACAAACCATGCATGGTCATGAACACACGCATATAGGTAAAAATAGCAAACCACACATGCAAAACTCAGCAGAATAGGCTTTCCAAATTTGGATAATTAGAAATGACAAAAAAAATCTAATCGCCAAGGAAGTCACTAACATACACACCAATCACTAATAACTTTGTCATTAATTCGTGGAACTTGCCCAAGAACTTCCCATGTGACTTTCGATCCCGACACAAATACAAAGAGCAGTGTTACCAAACAACGACGAATAAGAAGCCACCTTTCTCATTCTCTCCCTACAAACTATGGTATTCTCTACATGTTTACTGTTGTGTTTTCAGCGGGCATGCGACTGGGAAATCAACCAAAAAATGTAGAAATTCCCAACTGAACAAGATATTTTTACAGTCTTTTTAATTCGAAATGCCTGCCATATGTAAAAAAAAAGACAAAAAAGAAGGAAATCAGATGCATCTTTTTACGGGCACACATAAAGGACAAATTCCCCATCTCCCTCCACTCAATTATCTCAACCCCCCCTCCTCAAAAAATGAGTACAATCCTTGCCCACTGTGCACGTAGGTGTGTTACTTACAGTTTCAGTGGTAATTTAGATAGAGGATGGAACAACTGTGGTTTTCCTAATCACCAATGCACAGTAAATGTAAGAGTTCCTTTTCTCGTATGTCAGACAATTAGATCTGTGTTTTATAATGATGCTCTTAATATAACAAGTAGAGAATGCTTTAAATTCGTTACTCAAGCTACGTGCGGATACTGAAACTACAACAAACAATCTTGTACAAAATGCATTAAGATTCAATGTGGACAACGAGGGGGAGAATTCTCTCGTGCAATCCTGCAACCTCACTTGCAGTAAACAAATCGTCTCTCTCTTAAAATTCACTGTACAGATAATTCTACAATTTGGAGATGCCGGATTGTCCTTGTATTTGTTTTTCAGCTTCTGACAGACCCATGTCTTCAAATGCAAGGTTCATCTGACCACCCGTGATAAAAGTAACAGCATGGTTCACTTTCAACTCGCCCAATACAAACAGTCAAATATGATGCCCCTAATTGCCTCTGAGGGCAGTGACATCTTCCCCACACCCCACCCCCTGGGTATATGGTTCATGTACATGCACTCTATCATATAAAAGTACATGTGCATGTAACTTCTGTTCACGGGTTGTATGCCATCAGTAAGTAATCAACTGTTTGTAACTTTGACTCAGAACACATCACAACAAAGACATCATTGTCGTAATATCTCTTACTTCAGGTAGACAGCACCCCCTTCCTTCAAGCATTAATACAAACAGTAGAGTTTTACATGATGTCACCTCAGGGGACAAGGCATCTCTTTTAGTCAGTTTCCCTCTGATCCCATTTAAAATTCATCCTCCTCCTACAGACTAATCACACAGTCCAACTTAAAACTGCGGAATATTTTGAAAGGAAGGCATGACGACTGCTAGTGGGGACAACAGAAGCCTTTGGTTCCTTCTGTGTGTCTGTCCTCCGTGGCAGTGCAACACATGTACACACATATTTGTTACTGGTGTTTACAATCTGGTAACGAGGACTACACACATGTTGAAATATGGACCATTATGAAGACACAAAATGGTTTCTGTCCGCACAACACAGTTCCAACTTTTCAAACAAAAGAAATTATCCCCTTAACAAGAGGAAGACCACTCGTACTGAACACTATCCCAAATTATTTGAATCTCTGGAGCAACAAGCCGATGTTATACATTTGCTGGCTAGGAGGGGGTGGGGAGGATATAAAGGCAAGCCCTTAAATTCTCTGCTACCGGGGGGGGGGGTTTGTGGCCCACAAGTTGGAGAATTTGAGAAGGTAGGTTGGAAGCTGTGAATAATAATAACTGGGAGCTAAAGTTTCTCTTATGATCATGTCTGCAGGACACTTTTTCCAACACTCATCAGATTACTTCCCAAAAAAGGTGCACAGACAGATGGTGTAATAAGCCTTTTTCAGTCTCCCCACACAATTGTGTACCTTCATCCTTGTTGATCATGGTGAAGTTGCCATGGATTTTGACCGTCTCATATTCCACCAGCTCGTTGGGTTGCAGGGAGCCTCGTCTCATCTGACAGTGGAAGGTGAAACGCTTACTGAGCAGCTCCCCCTCGTTGTCTCGGCTGCTGTCAACCTCCGACAGGATCTTAAAGATCTTAGGCCGGTCGTCCTCGTGAACCAGTTCGTATATTGTACAGTTTTCGAGGTCCTTCTGTAGGCCAATGACAGATGAGACTCATTTATGCACATCCTCCCTTTGATGTTTGTTTCCTTTTTGGTTGTTCCTTTGTTTTTTATTTTTGTTCTGATTTTTTCTTCCCTTTTTTCTCTGTTCTGTTTGGTTTGGAAAGGCAGATGGGTGAAGAGGCAACAAAGACAGTAAACGTTAAAGAAGTACAATGAACAGACACTGCAATTGATAAAGCATAGTTATGTAATTCCCCCTTCTTCAAACATGTATACATGTACTACATGTATAAATTGTGCATGTACATGCACATTGCAGAGATACATGTACATGTCAGAGTGTAACATAAAACCATAGCAGGCGGCAAACAACTGCTTGGAAAAGCAGTTGATTCAATTAAGACATTAGATTGCTTGTGTTGTAATTTGTCAAAGTTACCCCATCCAAGGGGACAAAATGTACATGTAATTGCCCAAGGAGAAAATTGACCAACACTGGGATGAAATGCTGTGCACATACATGTACATGTAGATGCCCACAGTATGTGCGCAGGTCTTGTGCCTGTTATTGGGGCTATTTAAAATACACAAAAAATGCCCAGTTTTATAGCAAAGACATGCCCTTGGGTTAAAAGGGTTGTGCACACACATCCTGGTGGGTACCTCATTGAGGGGATGACTTCTATTTTAAGTTGTGGAGACTGACTGTCCCTACAATATGTTCCATCCCTATAATGACAATTGAGGGACTCAGGTGAGTCACTGAGTCATTTCTTGGCTGGTGCCAAGCCAAGAAAGACCAAGAAACATTTATGAAGTTCATTAAAAAGCACCCAGATACATGTACATATACTTGTTTTGTAGTCTTATATTCTACAGACATGTTTATAAACACAGACATCGTGGGAGGACTAAAACCCTGTGATAACATCACAGTTTTTCTCATGAATATGGAAATACTCATAAGCATAATAATATTCAAAAATGCAATATAAGTGCCCTTTGACATTGTAAAATAAAAGTTGAAAATGAGGTTAACTACTCAAGACATAAGGTGCATATTCAAGGCTTGCATTGAAACAAATTGATTGCAGCTACCCTTTAAAATGCAATTTTGTTTCTGCGCAACATGCATCTACATTATACATGTACATACTTCTGTTCTTTATCCCCAAATGCCACTGCAACATTTGCAGCAATTCTAGCACTACATGACACATACATGTCATCTTTATCCACATGCACATATGTGAATAACAAATTTTCTTTCCATTTCCGGTAAATGCTCCCTTCTAAGGAAGGGTCATTATGCAAGAAACCTGTCCCTGTGTGTGAATGCTTACAGGGTTACATGATTATGGCTTATTAGTAAACTTTCCACACATACAATACATGTACTTGGCTCAGTGTCCCTGCTAAGCCACAACACTTGAAGACATGTATCTGCTTCTCTAGCAACATGTCTCATTTTTAATCAAGCAGCACCTATGCCCAATCTCTATTTCCAAATCTCTGGCATGCCAAGACCCATTACAGGTCCATCATGCACTCCTCGATAGGATGACCCCCAAGGTCAAGATACAGATTCCAATTTCTGTGTCCAGAATCCAGAATCTCTCTCACCATATTGCAAGAGTCAGCTCATAGTTGCCCCTCATTAGTAGCACTTCATGTATATGTATGATTACATAGTGTTTACCACAGTGGGTAGACAGGGCTGTCTTATGCCATGATTAAATCACGGCAAATGGCAGGTGCACCATTTATATTAGATCAAAAGAAAGTGAACGGCACAGTCTTTCCAATTCCACCTGGGGCAGATAATTCCCCGGAAGATTTAAAATGATGGTTACAAAGAAACTAAAACCTTTTGGAAACAGAATTAATCCTGCTATTCATCATACATATGATAGCAAAGTACGCACTGGTAACACAGAAACTAATTTAGCATGGACCACCTGACCTTTGCTGTGAATAATGAACAGAACTGGAAGCTAAGGTTTCTCTGATGATCATGTCTTCAGGAAACTTTTTCCAACACTCATCAGATTACCTCCCTAAAAAACATGCACAGACAGATGGTGTAATAAGCCTTTTTCAGTCTGACCTTTGGTGTGGACAATCAGATGCCCTGTTTAAAAACACCTGTCCTCAGACTATATCTGAAATTCACATATGCAGCAAGGTATGAGACGGAGAGAACCCCCCCTTTGTGTTGGTCATTGTCTCGCAGGAATCTGAGAAATTCTTTTCAGACATCTTGGGGGGGGGATGTGTTAAGTAACAATAGTCTGGAATGTGTATAGGGATTGGACATGTTGGGGGGCGTACCCCTCGGTCTCATTCACGTCCCATGCATGTAAAATTGGTATTTTGTCATCCTTATGATATTTTTATGGAACTATGGATTTCACAACAGTACAGGATGAAGTGGTAATTCTGTTTGGAGTAAAATTATGTTTCTTTTTTTTTTTCTTCCAAAAATTGGTTACTGAAAAAGCACTAAATGTGCGCGTTAGATTTTTATAAGATTTCTAATCCATGAAAAGAAAATGCGAACACCTGTGGTGCAGAGCATTCAGTACCGACAGGTCTCCAAGTACTTCACAGTGTTGCTCACTGCAACACTGTAGACCGACCATGTATGAAGAATCATTTGGTTCTACCTCAGCAACCAACTCTTGAAAGTCACAGAACTGTCAGCCCCTGCTCAGTATAGCAAGAACTGGTTTTTTTTTCAATCTCCTTAATGGTTGGACACCAGTCCTGAAGGATCAAGTCCTACATCTTTGCTCAGGTCCCAAAAGGCCATTTCATTATTGTTATCACTATTTTTTTTTTGAATGCAATGGAATGATACCTTGCTAGACATTCCCAGGGCAATCTAATGCCAAGTCTGGAGCTGAAGTGGAATTGGAAGCCTGCTCCCGACTGATTGATTTGCCTAGATCTCTCCCCCCACCATGCGAGAAAAATTCTCTTGTGAAAGTAAATTCTTTCCTGAAAATTCCCTTTCCAACTTTCAATTGCAGTGTACTGTACAAAGGCATTCTCACACACACTAGAGAAAAATCTTGTTGAAAGGGGGTACAAGTTCAAAATTCTAAAATGGAACCTGTTTGATCGCAACTCACCGGTAAATGTCTCAAGAGTGACGTAATGCTGCAGGACGTGTACAAGATGTGGCCCTGTTGGGAGAAGACAATAAGAAACCCATCCAAGGCCTCTAGCATCAGCTGACTGAACTCGTTGTCTGACAGGAACGAAGGTTTCCACTTTTCCTTGATTGACGTCTCCGACTTGAGGGTGTTGTCTAGATTGAAACAAAATTGATTTTTTAAAATATAAAACAGGAGGGAAACATGAAGACCAATACTTAAAATTCAAAGGAAGAGTACAATTAACCCTTTGTCCACATGTACCCATATCTTTCTTGGTTTACTGTCTTCCTGAATCAACCAACATTTGGTACTATAGATCGTCATAGCCTATCCACCCAAAATCTGAATTCAAGCTTCACGTCAAAAAACAAGTGACAGTATCTGCAGTCCTACATTTATCCAAAGCAAAGGGAACTGTTCTGGACTTTGGAAGATTGGGGAAAACGACATGACAGAAAAAGGGTGAAGAGGGGGTAGGGTCACACATACAATAAGAGCAATTTGAATCAAAGCTGCCAAGCCCTTGGAAATGGGCATGCAAACAGATTCAAGATAGTAACTGGTTGTATTGCACTCGGCTAAATAATTCAAAGCAACGGCATGCATTTTGTAGTAATACACCAATCCCATCACTAACAGGAAACAAGACTGGGGAGGCAAAAAACCTTAAAAAGTGTGACGAAGGTCATTAATTAATCTAAGTCTGAAACACAGAACAGCAGTTGAAAGTGGGCAAGTACATGTACATGTAATTACATGTACATGAAACATGCCGTACCTGAATAGTGCACAATTTAATGACACCCCAGGTTCACCAGGCTGTCTCATAGCCCTGATGTCCAATCTAAAAGCAATGCCCTCCAGGATTTGCAGGTGAGACAAGACAGTAAACTCTGGAAAATCCTGCACAACATTGGTTAAAATATCCCCTAAAGCTCCCCATTTAGAAACAACTGGCATTTGCATTAGTAGTTGGCACCATAAAAAAAGGTTGGCATTCAACTGTATATTTTGAACAGGTAAACACGCTTCATTTTATGTCATCCAAGGATACCATATAAACACCTCCCCATACAGCTATTTTTATCACCGCTCAGGAGATAAACTTCCCTGTTTGCATACAGGTATGCTGTTTCAAAAATACCTTCAACTCTAACCTAAGTGCATTTTGCTACATACTCAACATTTAGAAAGTTCTTTGGATTGTAACTTTTCTGCTCAAAAGGACAATCACTCATCTTTCAGGTTTATCTTGAGATTAAACTCTCAGTAAATGAGAAAAGTTTCTGTTTGTTCAATTGAACATGCATAGCACCATCGGCCTTACAAGCAGTAATATGTGGGTATTAAAAAAAATTGGGGCGCCTTGAGAAACATTTAGTAATGCCTGTCACATTTATTTCCACTCAGTTTTCATCCTTGTTGTCCCCATGCACCACAGGGGAATTCCTCCTGGCATGTACTCTGTCCCAGTGTCCACCTCTACATTTGCAAACAGTGGGGGAGGGGAAGAGGTTCAGAGCTAATCCTTTTCAGAATTGCTTCTCAAAATCATGCCCTGGTGTCATGTTTCCTGCCTTTGCAAACAGTCTTTTAGGTAACTGGTAAGCTGTTAATTCATTCACATGACAGCTATCAGGCTACCAGGTTGCAAGAGCCTAGAAATGACTTACGGGCTTGTGGAAGCAAGACGCCACTGGAACATGCTCTGGAGTATTACTGCCATACAAGGAGTGTAAGTTAATAATAATGATACCAAAGAAGCACAGAATTTCACAGTATAAATTCAAAGGTATCATCCCTGCACATTGGGCTCACAACATCTGAACAAGTCTAAAACCTTCTCAGCACCTTGGGGACTATACTATCCCAATAATGCTGTATCAGGCGCACATGGCTTTAACAATAACCATATCTGCCCTCAGAGGTACCCATCTATTCCTGGGTGTAGAGCGGCACATAGGGTGTCACAACATGCTGCTACCACTTGGATTTGAATCCCCCCAGATTGGCAGCTACAAACCCTAACCACTAGGCCACTGGGTTCACCTGGAATCTATTATGACAGTCTGTTTTTCTACTGCTAAATCCAAATCATTTTTATCATGTCCATCCCTCCCTTACCATTATGTGCCTTGAGAAAGTTGATCGTGGAGCGCAAGACGGCAGACTTGTCCATCTTGCGGTTCTTGGTCGACACCATGCATCCCAGTTCCTGAATGAGGCAGTTGAACTGATCTCGCCGCTTCTTTTCGCTGGCATTTCGACACTTTCTGTTGCACAATATCAATGTTTCAAATGTGTCACAATACTTTCCTCACAAAACAATGGCAAGTGGAATACACTGCACCTCCTTTTGACAGAAGAGCATACAGTGTGCCTCACTTGGAGGAAAAAATGATGTAAACTGCCCACGCAGCCTCTTCTCATAAGATTTGAGGCCATCATGTTCTCTCCTGAATGTATGTATGTATATACATGTATGAATTAATGGGAACATAAAGAATTCTTAGTTTTGGCCCAAGACGTCACTGTTTGATATTTGTTACCCTTGCATATAACACATCCAAACTGTAGCACTAAAAAAACTGGCTCAACAGAGGCCATGATGTACAGGACGATGACCCTGTGGTATAGCCTGTAGAAACTGTCAAGAGTTCCCAACGAACCAGAGGGGCTTAATGCTCGGTAGAGGAACAGAATCCATTATGGAATCAAACACATTGTGGAATCGGTTAAATTTAACCAGAGATGTGTTGGCCGAAACAATATTTTTCCCCTCAGGAAAACGAAGGGAAAGAAACACAACAAAACAGAAAACTCGCAAGGTCTAAGAGCCAAGACTAAGGAATTCTTCCAATCACATTTTAATTTGCAAGTCTGGCAAAGCAGGCAGAGAATGCCAACTTTTGTGTATTCGACCAAAGCTTTACTTTTATAGGCAAGCAGCAGAAAAAAGAGATCATGTCCCCACATTTTAGCCAACAAGTTTATCTCTTTTTTTTAACTTGAAATTCAAAAAAGAGGTTCTATGCTACACACTCACTAACTTGTGTCTCGAAATTCACAAGATACGTGGACGTTACGCACAAGAAAGAAGTGTTAGTCATAATTGACTCACCTTTTACATCCTTGCTTGTCATCTTCGCTGGTCAATTCATCGGACATTGCACGTTGACTGCAAACAAAAGTTACACAAGGAATACCATGTAAGACATTTGATCCCAGAATTGTTGACAAAACTGCTAAAGTGAGGAGAAAGACTATGCACATCAATACCCCGCTATGACAGAAATGTAGCCAATCCAAAGAAGTAATTACATGTACATATTTAAACCTTGCAAGATAACAATGAAGCCATATGAACCAGAGTGTATTTTGTTGTTTCCATGTAATTCCAGATGCAGATCATTAATTATTAATACATGTAACAGCAGATGACTCTTTAACCCTAACCCTCCCAAATCCTTTTCTGCAAAGTGGAGGAATTCGGAGGATTCAGGGTGCATGGCAAAAGTGCATGGCTGATTTTGAAGGATGCCATACAAGAAGGTCATGGATTAGACCTTATGTTGCTTGTGCTACCGTATTTCAAGCACAAATTCAGCCCGATATTTCTTCTGAATCAACTACACAGCTCAAAGGTGCCATTCGCACTGCCTCAACATGACAGGAATTGCTGGAGGATTTTAAAGGATTCGGGCAGTTAGGCACACCTCCAAATGACATTTTCAAGAAATTGAGGATTTTGAAGGATTTGGGCTGAATGCAATTTTTCATGTTGAAAATCTGAGGATTTCAGAGGATTCAGGATGGTTCCTTGTAAAAGGGCCTGGGGGTGAGGGTTAAAGAAATTTATACCTGTAGAATGGCAAGTCCTAAATGATTGATTGAGCGTTCGATTCTAAGGGTCAACAGTGGTCACCACTGCATCATACGTATACATGTACACTGTATGGGTACATACTCATACGTGTTGTGTATCTCAAATTGGTCAACAATTTTTTTTTCAAGTTCAACAGTGAATGGTTCAACAACAAACACTCCAATGTCTTCTGAATGGATCAGAATGCAAGACTTCACTTGTTAGAGCCCCCCAGGGGACCAAAAGAGCTTATACAACACGCATTTGCATCTACGTCTATGGCTTGGAAGTGAGACTGATACATTTCTGTAATCAGCATGCCAATCTCTGGGTTCAGGAAATCAGGCCAGATCCATAACAGAATTCTGATGTACATGTACCTTATACAAACCCTTTCTGTTTGCAGTCTCAAAGAAAACGATACCAACATGCCTTAAGATGATATGACACACAATTTCAAGTACACTGTGTCTATGTAGATTATACATGAAATGGAGCATTTCAAAGGATGTGCATCAAAGGTTGATTGACCGCATAAGCTCTGTGTTCCCCCATGTTCAGATAATTTCTCACACACCCTGGACATTGAGGTTAATATTCTATTCTTTTGTACATAAAACAAGTCATACATTTCTTTTAGAAAGCCCTTTTTTTCTGATCATAGTCTCTAGTGCATTGTATCATTTGGAAGTGTGCATATTTCAGAAATGTACAAGAAAAACACAACATGATAAATGATAATTTATGTGAACATTTGACACATTAATAAATGGAAGCATTTGACTCACTTACTTTGCTTCAATACAATACATGTACTTCCTCTTTTTACAAGCCAACCTATTTTGTCGAGCGTTGTTTGTGAACTCACTTGTCCGCAGCATGCTGTACATGTACGTGATATGTATGTCAGGTTCTCTCTCATGCTGGGGAATATAAGGAGTTATTTTGGGCAGGGAAAAGGAATGATGACGACACATGTACACGTTGTTCATTCTAATGTCGAAATATTAGCACTTCACAGACCTTCAATCAATCCACATACATGTACATGTAGCCACTCCCTCCTCCCAATACCCTTTGGATGAATTGTCATCTGAATACCTTCACATAATAGAAACCACTCAAGAGCTCCAAATGCAGGAACCACAGCATACAAGAAGTCAGATAATTGTTTGACCTCAATAACCCAGATCTGGCAAGGAGAGGCTGAAATGAAATCTAAACTTCACAACTCAGGAAGAAAGTTGACAGGAAAATGGCCAATCCTCAACTTAGAAAAAATAGCATCCCCAAAGGAAGAGACAGATTCAAACTGTCTGTTGAATGAAAGCTCGGCATGAAAATGTTTCACAGACAATTAAAATCTGTGGCACACGCATAAAAGATACATGTACATGTACACGTATAGGACCAACAAGCCAGCTTTTATGCTTCACTTACATGGGAATGTTGCTCAGTACAATTCAACAGGTGACAGTTTCGGTGATAGTAGGCATACTAGGCGAGTAATAGTGACTGGGCTGTGCCTCCTACAATCCTGCAAAATCCTTCCAAACCTACCAGTGGCTTTTGGAAGATCAGTGAGGATTATGGGTAAAGTGAGTGAACTACGGCACTTTCATTTCGCGTAACATAATTGGTTTGCCTACAGGAAACAAACTGCACTGAAAAAGCTTCAGTGGTGACATTTTGATTGGGACGAGTAAAACAACGGGTGACATTTTATAACTGTTGACAGCTGCCAACCAGGTGTGTAACAAGCCTAGAATCGCTGCAGCCAATGAGTGGGTTTTATCTCTCTGTAAACGTAATCAAGTAGAAAAAACCTTATGACTTGATACTTGCATATATTGGAGACAATAAATCAGCAGAGTGAATTTATTCCATTACAAGCTTCTTCCGCCAGGCCAGGGGTATAGAGAATCTGCAATTTTGCATAGCCTTTCCACAGACTATGCACACCCCATACGTACCAACTAAAGGCACTACATGAGACAATTTTCACAGTATACTCTGAAAAGATCACTTTTATAAACCCATGAAATTACACCATCCAAGACGCAATACATGTATTTGACAATGTGGGTCCGACTCGACCTGAGAGCAGCATCTAATGCAACAGCATATTACAATGTCAGTTTTTAATTTACAAAAAATAGGTATCCGTATTCCTGACAATTCCCTTCAAGAGTTTCAATCATGAATCTGTCTTTAGAGAAATATGGGAGGGCTGCGAGCACTGTGATCAGAACATCGACAGGAATATAATATCAAATCAGTGCTCTGAAATATGTGATTGCCAAGCTTTCAGTAACTAAGTACCTTCTTCAGGGCAATCTGCTTGCCCTGAAGAAGGTACTTAGTTACGGAAAAGCTCGGCAATCACATATTTCAGAGCACTGATTTGATATTATATTCCTGTGGATGTTATGAATCTGTCTTTCTTGTCCATCTCACCAACACTGACTGTGGTCTAAACAACTTTCCTCTGCTACATGTACATGTAAGTGGTTGATTTACAAAACTCAACCACACACCTTTCCTGTTGATAATGCATACCAGCGATGTGTTTGGCATAAAGCCTACTTACAATGTTGCTGTCAAACAGTCTCTCTATTCAACAATGTACAACTTGACTGTGTATTAACATTTGATAATGCCCGCTGAGAAGTGATAATACCCAGTGCATAAATCATACGCTGGCACCCAAATATGAGACAGTTTAATCCATTCTAATTGGTCAAGAGTCTGTGCCCACGTGGCTCACTACATGCGCCCCAAGTCAATATAAGGAGATTCTTTTGGACAACTTTAAAATGAAATGGATGGGGATGTAAAGTTCTAGAACAAAATTGTAGGAAATCCATCATACACATGTATATTGACTTCTTTGGACACTCGGACGAAAAAGGTATTTATGGATGGGAATAAATATGTGCTTGGCCGGTCACTGGCCAAGTACATATCGGTATTTATTCCCTTAATCGATGGCACACACATGGACTTCGTGACGCTGACAAATTTTCTAAATTCAGTATGGACTACACGTACTGAACCTGATTGTAACAGGAAGAATCAAATCCCTGTCACTCAAGTCAAGATTCTAAGCTTCTGGTTTTGATGAAAAATTAAAGAGGGATTTGGGAATATCACTCAATAATGTTTGTTTGCATGTACGTGCATGTGTATATCAACTGGATTATATTTGCAATATTAGGACATTTATCTTAAAATTGACAAGCTGAAGATATTGTTATTATGCACAGGGCCAAACAACAAATTTCCCACCTTGGTAACCACTGAATTCCCCTATGTTTCATGCCAAGATTCTCAGATTTCAAGATGGATCTGTTAATGGAAACATACAAGATGTGTAGACATGTATGTGAAACCAATAGTGTCTGTCATCTGTATTATATATGCAGCATGAGGAAATATCTTACACAATGGGGAATGCAGGCGGTGATGCATTGCCCCATTTCAAGCTGAATCTATTGTGATTTGTTCTTTTGTATGGTGGAGCCCAGCACCTACATGTACATGTACATGTGTGTATTTTACAAGACTTCACAGGATGCTAACAGCTGGCCCAAATTTTGCCTTGTCTGGAAAACTCCTCGCGCATGAAGAAATTCAAATTTACTAACTGAGAGAAGTAGGGTTACGTTGTGGTATAATACTCACATGTACAGTACGTATAAGGCCGTCGGCCATGCAGTGTGGATCTTTAGCTTAAGGACAGTGTAAGTGCTTAACGATCACAAACATGCACTCACGGTAGTAGATTGGCTCAAAGATAATAGCAATTTTCGCATGGTTAATTTTGTTTTTCCCCCTTGAGGCAAAGTTGAGGGGTTTGTCGTCATATACACAGTAAGCTTTCATATGTTTATGATACACTGTCATCCAAGCTTCATGTATACATGTACGCGTGCAGTACTTGTACCTTGTCACATTAGCACTGAATGATCAGGCAGAGAGCCCCCAGCTGGACCATGAGAGGGCATAATTTTCCTAGCAGCTATGTACGGCTCCTCTGGTGGGAACTGCCCTTTGCTGGTGTACAAACAACTATGAAATATGCGCGTTACAGTCACATCCCTACTAACAAAATGACTACTCCCCACCGACATGGCTCTGTTCAATTGATGAGAGGAGTGTTTCTGCTCAAGAAAGATAGGACAGTCATCCCGTTTTATTATTGGCACAAAATCTAGTGTATGAGGGCAAATGCTCATTTCATCAACATTCTGAAAAAGCTGTAATTTTTTGTCAAACAGCCACAGTTCTCAACATTGAAAAAAACTGATGCATTAGCATCAGACACAAACTGTTCACAGAGATTTTCCACAAGTTCACACTCCACTTCAAATAAATACACGTAGAGAACATGGAGCGAAGGTTCCAATCATTTCAAATCTATTTTCCACACCTGCATGTTGAATTTTATAGAAATGCTGCAACGAGGCAGCTCAAGACCCTGTTGCATGCATCTTTGACACGTTCCTGTTTATTTTTCTGGGTCACTTTAAGACTTAAAAGAACAGTGGTTGAAGAAAGCTAATTTTCAGTGGGTCTAGATCTGTGCATTGTACGACTACATGAAAGTTGTACTTCAAGCACCTTTTATCCTGCACCATTAAAAGCAATGCAAACGGTAAAATTTTGCTTTGAAAGCCTCATTGATTAGGAGCAGTGGGAAGTCACAGTGGGTGACCAAGGACATTTTACCAACCAATGGATGGACAATGGTATGCATGTATATGTATGTGCATGTATGCGCGCACTTGGGGGCACGCGCAACATTGGAAATGGCAGGGTATGCTGGATGGATCAGAGAAGCAATGTACCAAGTGGTTGCAACACATTTGTACGTTTACCAACCAAGGACCGGGGAAGATCGTATAGCATAACTGTAATTATGGTTTACAAGAGGGGAACACTTTGCAAATTCTAACCCAACAATACACATAACCAGGGAGTGAAGCAACCAAAGTCCCGCGAATCATGGCCAGGGGCCTGCTTAAGGGGACTCTAGATCACTTTTTCAGTGAATTTTCTTTCCAAATTGATTAAGAGTTCTGTTTAATTCTTCCAGGTAAAAATATGAAACTTTCATAGTGACTCGTGTTTTGCATGGACTTAAAAGGATTTTTATACCAGTCGGTGGGCTGTTTCATCAAGCTTAGTGCCGGATGGTAGTTCTAACACTGTTGTGGAGATCCCCCACTGGTGCCGACCGGCGTAGCTACATGTATATAACACTGTACACACTCTGATGGCGTCTTTTACAATTGAGCAATCTTTCAGTCATCTCAAAGTTTTTCATCGTTTTCAAATACACATACATTCTTTAATTGGTAACAAAATAAATGAAGAACAAGTACATCAAATGAAAACTGTTACAGGTGCAGAATAGCAGTGATACACAAACAAGTTGACAAATGACTGTGCACACGGCATTTAATATTCAAGGAAGGATTTCCATGGGAAAAAAAGAGACAAGTTTATTCAAAGACTGGATTTTCCTTCAAAGCTGAGGTTGTTAGATTTATTCATTAAGCCTCATCCCATGATCTTTCAACCAATCACAGCTGTAAAGTACACATGTACACGTATGCCCAACAAATCTGACATGTGCATGATCATATGAGATGTGCAGCCTTTTGAAAGAAGCACATGCTATTTGCCCACATGCAGAGTGGGTGAAGCAAAGTGGATCAGTCTATCGTTTGTTTCCAGCTCAGTTCAAACTGTTACCATTGAAAAAATTCCTAAGGAGTCTGGAGAGTCACAGCAATTGTTTCATACTTGCACATGTCCATCATAGAGAAATAAGTCTGTACTGAGTCTTTCAAGCACTTTCAGCTCACTACTACTTGCCTTTGGCATACATGTAAGATCGATGCCGTACACAACAAGTGCTCACTTTCCAATGTCAAGGAGCGTGGGCAACTGGTGTGGATGTACAACAGAATACACGCACGCAGACCTTTTAGATGTTGACGATGTAAAATTGAAAAAAAAAGAAGAAGAAGCCCTCATCTCACTGCGGGCTAACTTCTTAGGCAGCTCACTGTGCACAGCTGAATGTACATGTACATGTAGGTGGCTGGTGGAGAATTAATGCCCCTAAGTCACTGACACTGCCTGGCCTCTACATTGCCCGTCTGGAGACACATTACCATTAACGATGCATGCAAGCTGATTAAGCTTTTCAATATTATGTATGTATTACTGGTAATGGGTGATACCTTCATCATGGGTTAGGACAAGGCACATTTGTCAAATGCAGCATAAACGAAGTGCATTTCACATTGGATGGGGAGAAGGCCAGTCATTCAACTAAAAGCTTTCCATTTATAGTCAATCGAACTTCTGTGTCAACCACTTCTGTTGCAGAAGCACCTTAAATGTATTCAAATGTTACATCAAAACAGTGCATTTGAAATTTTCCGGAGTTGTCCAGATATTTGCTCAACATTCTATAAAAACGTAATAATTAATTTTCAATTTGTATGTACATGTGAATGTGAGCCATTGACCCAACTGTTATACTTACTCTTTTGTCCATGCCGATGGACACAACATCAATATTAGTATTCAGGGAAATATGAGTACATAAAATAAACATGCATTTAAGCAGAGGCTACTCCAGTGGCTAAAACAAAATCTATACAAGTGTGATTCTTTCGCTGTTGACCGTAACTGTTATCGTGGTACCTGTTCAGATGCATATGTTCTTTTAACATTCCTGAGATTAATTTTCCTAGAGTGTTGACAACAGGGTTTGTTAGAGCTGGGGGGTTCCACATTCCCTTGTTTTTTTGTTGTTTTGGGTTTTTTTCCCTATTACACTTTTATTTGTTTCTATTTATCTGGTCCTTCTGTATTACATTGTGATACATGTTATAATGTTTTTAATACTCCATGGTGTAATTTTTCCTAATGGTGCATATATTTTTATAGTTAATGTGCTGTATGTTTTAATATAATTTAATTTTATATTATTTTTTTACTACTTTAATATTGTTAGATGGCCCACTGAAAATCATCTGTTTTTAGATGACAAGGCTACCACCTATAAATAAAGCTATTTTTCTTCTTATTATTATTATGAGTCCGACCAACATTTACATTTCTTAAAGTGTACATGTACAAGCATTCATTTTTCTTGGACAATTTTTTTGCAACTGTTCTTCGAATTATGAACACTCTTTTACATTCTTATTTGGTTAAAAGAACTGAAAGTGCACCATTTTTAA